GATTTTCCTCCGACTTGGCACCAAAGTGATCCGAAAAAAAGTTATGGCACTTCTAGTGTACTTTTGCCCATTTGTAAGTCAAAATTGCATGATGAGAATTCTTCTGAATCCGATGACAATGACAATGATGATGATGATGGTCAGAAAAATATCGAACGAGATTGGATCCTCCATGAAGAGTCCAAATCTCTAACTGCTGAACAAATAGTGACAGTGAATCTGGGTGACATAAAAAATGTTGAAGAAATAAAAATCGGGGCGAGTCTTTCCAAAGTGAAGGCAAAACGAATGATTAATCTTTTGAGAGAATATCAAGATATATTCGCATGGTCTTATGCGGATATGCCTAGATTAGATCCAGAAATTATGGAACATGCTTTACCAACTGATCTGAATATGCCACCAAAAAAGCAAAACTTCGAAGGACAAAGCCAGAACTCTCAAAGAAAATTGAGGAGGAGGTCATGAAATTATTGAAAGTAGACTTCATTAAAGTATCACATTATTCTGACTGGATTGCCAATATTGTCCCTATAATGAAGAAAGATGGATAGGTCAGAGTTTGTATTGATTATCGGAATCTGAATAAAGCAAGCCCGAAGGATGATTTTCCATTACCACACATTGATGTCCTAGTCGATAGTGCCGCCGGATTTGAATTGTTTTCTTTTATGGATGGTTTTTCCGGGTATAATCAAATCCGAATGAAAGAAGAAGATAAGAGTAAAACTTCCTTCATTACTCCATGGGGAACTTTCTACTACAAAATGATGCCTTTTGGTTTGAAAAATGCCGGGGCAACATATCAAAGGGCAATGGTTACCCTATTTCACGACATAATGTATAAAAAGATTGAAGTGTACGTTGATGATATGATTGCCAAATCAAAACATGGTGAAGATCACATTGAAGTTTTGAAGAAGTTATTTCATCGACTCAGAAAATTCAAGCTGAGACTTAACCCTACGAATACAGCTATAGTTTATTAACCTAAAAGTCAAACTTTTTGTTTTTGAGTGATTATGCAGATGCAAGAGCCGTAACTCTTTCGAATGAACCCATCACTTCTTCTTCTTCTTTTTGTCAAAAAGCGAGATATTTCATTCATTAAGTAACGAAAGGATAACATAAGTCGAGTATCTAAACATAAAAGATCCCATAAAGGTAATGGCGATTTTACGAGCCAATCTTGCAGTAGGTCTTTCTTGTGATGAGTCTTGGCAATTTAGGCCGCCACTTGATTTGATTTGCTGGGCTGTAACCAACTCTATGGTTTTTGACCGGGAAAGGTTTTTGTTTGCATTCTTCGAGGATGGCTTGAAGCTCCCACAGGCTTGGAGTCTGCCCCATTATAATGTTCACCAAAGATAAGCTATCAGAGCTTACCACCACGCGCAAATCAACAATTCTCGACAAATCATTTTCCATTCTCCACAGATCAATTTCGTCTTCTAAGTACAATAGAGCTGAATGCAAAGCTAGGGCTTCGATTTCCAGCACCGAGGAGGCGACCACCCTTTTAGCAAAACCACCCACTATTCTCCCAGTAGAATCATGGCAGATCCTAGCAACGGCACCCTCCCTCTCTCCTTCTACGACTGACCCGTCAATGTTGAGTTTTGCACCCATCACTTCCGTACGTAGCGAAAAGACATATCTTCTTATTTTCCGTAATTTGTAGATCTTGTCTTCTTTTGTTAAGGGTAAGTGTATTGAAAATCCTAAAAATTTTCATAGAAATGAATTAAGTCTAAAACTTCAAAAGCGCAATTAAGTCATAAAATTTGTCACGAAATCGATTGCACTTCTAAAAATTTTGGGACTCGATTGCACTTTCGTGATAAGTTTTAGGACTTGATTGCATTATTTGAAAGTTTTGGGGCTCAATTGCACTTCCACGACTAATTTCAGGACTTGAATGCATTTTTTGAAAGTTTTAGGACTCAATTGCACTTTCATGGCAAGTTTTAGGATTTTCAGTGTACTTATCCCATTTTATTTATAGTGACGTTCATGATAAATTCGCTCACGGAATAATCTATTATGAAAATCACTGGTAAGTAATCTAGTAAAGTCAAAGTGACTAATCAAAAGATTGGTATTGTGGGCTTAAAGTACGTTTGAACATTAATCAAGGGATTAAGTATAATGTCTGGCCCAATAAAGAAAGGATTAAGTATAGTTGGATGGATGGTTCTAAAAAGAGAAAATCCCATCGAAACGTACTTCAATGGGCGGTGTCCAATTAGACCATTTGCGACAACGGCCCATCAAGCTCAATGGACCGGGTCTTCCGTTGAGAACAAAGTGTGGAATGCCCCATCTAACATAGAAGTTTGTAAGTGCTTAGCCAGTCTTTTTTTTTTTTTGATGGTGTTATCATTATATTTGCTGCAAATAAGTAAATTTAGTTACAATACATATGGATTTTAGTTGTAATCTCCAATCGTTGACAAAGTGAAAAGAAAACCTTTCTACTGTTACATGAATCGGATTTTCATTTCATTCGGCCATACATAACATAGAAATCACACTTGGAAAATAAAAAAAGACGCGGGTATATTAGGAATGGTGGGAAAATTGTCTAAAAAGTCATAAATTTATTTTACAATAGCCAATTCGATCATAAATATTTCAATTGTACTAATTCAGTCTTAAACCTTTGGATGATTTGTCAATTTAGTCCTTCCGGCCAATTTTGACCGCGAATCGCTAACGTGGTGGTCTAATCAGCACCGACTGTCCAACTTGGCATGGCCGGCGCATATGTGGACAATATTTCCGCCTTAGGTTCAGTATTGAATTGGCAGCCGTACAATAAGTTTAGGACTTTATAGACAATTTTCCTTGGGAAAATAGCCATTACGGTCCGAGTATATGTAACGAGTCAAACTCGTTAACATTATGGCAATGTAATAGTCACCGTTGCGATCGAGCGTGCCGACGTTCGTACGTGACATGGCCAATGCGAACGCTACTAGAGACGCCCACAAAACACAAATCTCCTAAAACCTACCAGTCTTCGGGGATTAGCAGCCTTCTAGAACACGCGCTGGCCGCCACTAGGCAAATCTCAAGCTTCCATCTATCATTTTGGCAAAATGCAAACGAAGGTGGAGCGAAGGGACCCGTAAATCGCTTGTCCGAAGATCATTCGTGCTTTCCCCGATCCGAATCATCGAACCCCGTACAGATTCAAACTTCATCATCATGAGTACCCTTGAAATTACCGGACCCAATTAAGGATTAACACTAACAACTCTTACGTGTCCAATTCGATAACATAATGAATTTAATTCACCCAAAAATTCTCGATAAAGAAAAATATCTTTTATGAATACCATTTTTATGGAAAATAGTTAATTTTCAGTCCGTTGGATTATTTCGTAATCTTGAAATAACTTTTATTGATAATAGCAAAGATCTCAAGACATACAATATCCACGTGCTACAATTGTAAGGGGGTCAAGGGGGCAACTGCTTATGTATGTTGATGTATATTCATAATAAATTTGAAGTTACCACAGATTTTCACCCTATAAGTAAGTATCGTACCGGTCTACCGTATTTAAGTGACCTTACGAAAATACAATATATTACAAAGCAATGCGCAAGCTTATGACTAGTTATCAACGAAAATTTTTCAATCGGACAAAACATGTTCAGACCTAGAAATCACTAGCTTAGACATTATAGATGGCTTTACTATCTCATATTCAAACAAGCATTCGACACATATAAAAACTAACGTTGGTCTTACGTGACCCGTGCTCGTGAAATGAGAAGCGACGAAAATCCGAGATTTTATGAAGTTCCATATGTGAATCCCAAATGCTAGCAAGCAAGTTGTTAACGCGCATCCGAAAAGACGGAGTCGGTCATTGATGGATCCCCCGGGGACTAGGAACTCGCCAATTCTCGGACGGCGAAGTGCGAAGCGGGCCCGTGACTCGAAGAGACAAGAGGGAAACCGTGGTCGGTTTCGCCGGCCGGTCTCGCCACGACCTGGTCAGCCAGCTCGAACCGACATTGGCCCCTTCTCTGCAGTTACTCCCACTACTCTTCTTAGTTCCTTCCCCATGCAGATAAAAGTCTGCTGGCAAAAGGACCCCACATCCTCTCCCTCGTTCCCGTGACATGGGCATCCATCCATGACTGGTCCACGTGTCGAGCCGACACGTGTCCGGGCACGGAGCGGCACACGTGGCGTGGAGCAGCAGTTGGTGGGCTGGCCTTATTTATACCGGGATGTAGCTCGGAGCTTCCCTACTCAGAACTCGAGCTGGTTCCTGCTTCACTGATCAAGAAGAGTGCGTGCCGGTTGATTTTATCTTTTGCAGGCTTACGGAAAGGATCGATAATCGTTTGGGAGTGTGATGGGGTTCTTGGATTACGTCGCCGATGTTTGCTACGTGCCTCGCAACGACAGCAGGAAGCTCAGGAAGCGCAAGCAGCTCCAGGTAACTCTAACGTTTCGATCTGTGTTTTAGCTTTTGCCTCTTTTGTTTGTATTGCTGGTTTTGTGAGATGTTGATGGTCTTTTTCTTGGTCGTTTGTGCAGACGGTGGAGATAAAGATAAAGATGGACTGCGAGGGGTGCGTGAGGAGGGTGCGGAAGTCGGTGGAGGGCATGAAGGGGGCGACCCAGGTGGAGGTCGAGCCCAAGCAGAGCAAGCTGACCGTAGTCGGCTACGTCGACCCGGGGAAGGTGCTCCGACGGGTCCGGCACCGCACCGGCAAGGTCTGCGACTTCTGGCCCTACGTGCCCTACGACGTGGTGGACCACCCCTATGCGCCCGGCGCCTACGACAAGAAGGCCCCACCGGGGTACGTCCGGAATGTGCTCCAGGACCCGCAGGCCTCAGCCCTCGCCCGCGCCAGCTCCACCGAGGTCACGTACACCACCGCCTTCAGCGACGACAACCCTAATGCGTGTGTAGTCATGTAGATAACAGGAGTGGAGATTCGTGTGTATGTATTTTGCTGGTATGTTTGTGCAGGGTTTGTGTGATTATTTGGAAGTGGAGGAGTGTTGGACTGTGTTATGAACTTGGAAGAGTCTGGGGTCTGAAGTTTGTGGGGTCTGAAGCTTTGTCAGCTAGAGAAAAGAAAAGAAGAAATTGTAATGACTATTCTAGATTGGTAAGGAGAATTTGCGTCTTCTGTTTGACTGTGCCAATCATTGTTTGACGAGTTTCATATTCTGGAAAAGGACTGTCTCGCAGAGCTCGGCCCCGCGACGAAGGGGGCTGGATCTTGGGTTCGACTTTTGCTGGGACGTGATCAGAACAAGGCGTGAAGTCTGCTGTTCTGTGATACGATCCTCAGGTTCAAGAAGCTTGCAAGAGTTAAAGAACCTGTTGTGTTCATGGCTCTTTCGCAAGCATAATCTGGCTTGATCCGCCCGGGAGCTTTAGAAGTTAGACTTTGCTAGAAACTGTTCTATGATTTAGGATTACAAGTAGAAGTTAAGCTCAAAAGAAGGGCTGATCTGATTTATCCTGAAACGTTCAAAATCTTTCAGATGGGAAAGGGTAGCTCCCTGAAATGGGCTAATTTTCTGAAAGCACCAGTTACATTTACTTGGCAATAACGTGTCGAACGACTATCCATACTACCCCGACATCGGCCGGCTTGAGTTCGGGGCTTCGGCTTCGGCTTCAGCTTCGACTTTGGGTCGGCTTCCAATCTCTCCCACGACGGAGTGATCGGGCCATCGGCCAAGTTGGGGTAACAGGGAGGTGCACCAGTTCCCCTCTCTCTTTCATTATTGTTTTTTGTGTGAATTTTTTCTCGTCTTTCGGACTATACAAACGTCGGCGTGCATGGAGATTCAAAGAGGGTGTGCAAGAATAAAATAAGATCTTAATTCATATTATCAAATCTAAACTCTAGTGAAAGAGGCAAAAAAATACGGAAAACTTACCTGAATTTATCATTACACATTCATTTTCGTTACATTTTCGTAGTGTAGTTTGATAAGATCTTAGAGAACTCCTCGCAATTTCAGTTGTTAGGGAAATGCGAATTACAGGGATAATTAAAGGGTTCCTTCCGTTTTGAAGAGATGATGTCATTGGGCATGTAAATGTAACGAAAATGAGTTTGGGAGAGTTTTGAGATTGAAGGTGCATGTGCTGAAAGCATATAGTATTTGGATAATTGACTATTGGGGTATTTCATAAGACTAACTTTCAAGTATAAAGAAAAAAAGAAAAAAGAAAAAGCAGGCAATTGGGCAAGCATCGACGAAGAGTGTAGGGATATGGATGAGGTTCGGCGGCTACTAGAGGTGACCATCGGCCAGAGAGCATTGACGGGCAATCCTCGTCATAGTAGATCTCTACTGGCCGACACTTGGCTGATTAGCCATTGGCGACTATATCTCGTGCTGGTCAACCAGCGGAGAGTTACACCATACCAGATCTTTGCCGATCGAACCTCGATGGGTCAACCCTCGTCGTCGACATTTGTCGACATTAGTGTAAGCCATGTTAACCAATATTATACTGTTGGCACTCAATTGACCGACGAGTCAAACGTTTGGAACTTCTTCCTATGCATGTTGCCTTGCCGTTTTATAGCTAAATTAGAAACGTTTCGATGTCGAAGAAAGATGTTCTCGACGAAATGTCTTGCCTTGTTGGGCCGTGGCGGAGGACGGTATTGGGCGTTCTCCTTCGTGACGTGGGCCTTCGGCCCAAGATGCAAATCACGTTGCCCTCGGCCCATCATCATCCTCCCATCGCAGCTCTTTACCTAAAACTAAAAAAAGGCTTTTTGTCATTTTCCTCCTTTGACCTTGTGGAAGCTTCGTTGAAATTTCTTCCTCGGGCCACACGGTCCGGTCTGAGCCAAATTGATCATTTTGTGTTGGAGGCACAGCAAACTGCACTAGGTTATGACTAGACCTGTTAAATGGGTGAGTTGGATCGAATTGGGGTCAAGTCACAAATGGTCCGACCCAAATTGATCTATTAACCTGTTTATGACCCATTTTATGTGCAATGCAATTTTCTTGACCATACCTGACTCGATCCATATTCGTATTGCTAAAACACTTCCATATTTAACTAAATCTAGGAAAATCATACATAAAATGATATGAGAATGCAGAGTGAGCGAGCGAGCGCGAGATTGAATGAGGGCGAGAGAAATAAGTTGAGTTTAAATAAGTTGTAAATCCATTTATGACCTATTTAACACCCATATTATACCTATACCCATTTATGACACATTTACTAAATATAACTAATCAATTTATGGCCCATTTATTAATATATGGGTTAAGAAATGAATTTATGACCCATTTTGATAAGTCTAGTTATGACTACGAGGCCCAACTTCGATCCCACTTCCATAAGTCCTCCTCCTCCCTGAAGATCGCCATCCTTAGCTTTGGCAGCTTTGGCAGCTTTGGCTAGTTCCTCACCAAGACCTTCGTCTCCTGGGGGGCCACACCATCCTTGCCCACTCCTGCTTCGACTACTCCTCTATTGCCTCCAAGCTCGGTGTCGCCTTCTATGTTGACCCGCACGACCTATGAGAGCAGCACCTCGAGGTTGTCTGTCTCTCCACCTCCATCTTGTCCATCAAGCGTGTCCTTCACTTGATCCCATTCTAGAGGCGCAAAAGGAGCACCATTTTTGTCGGTGTCCTTTCGGTAAAGGAGTTCCCTTGCGACCTTTTGTTGAAATATTTGCCTGTCAAGTTCGACATTTTGTCCACACACCCCGTGTTTAGCCCAAGAGCATGGTAAGCATTTGTGGGCGGGGCTAGCTTCGTGTGCAATAGGGTTAGGACTGGGGATGATGAATCAATGGTTCTTAGATATCTTTGTTAAGGAGGGCTGTACGATAGTGAAGATAAGCTATGCTAAGCATGATCGGTCAAATTCCCATTTTAGAATCGAGAACTGGGCCGCCCGTTAGTCATTGATTCTAGTTTTATGGAACCGAAAATTGGGCCAGTGTTCCTAGAAACCGCCTAAATCGGTCTAGGCGATTTTCGGTTTGGGTGGTCCCGTTGCACATCCTTAACTCACCTGACCTTGTCCTTTCACGGGCACACCTCGATTCATCTACCCAAACACTCCCAAGATCCCAAAAGGCCCCACACGGCCAATAGGAACCCCTCGATCCAACTATCCTCGTCCCCAAACACGCCACTTCCTTCGCACAAAGGCCAGATCTCGCACTATAAAAGCCCCCCTCGAGCTTTCCATCGACGTTTCGTTTCGGATCTCAGGTCTCTCTTCCTCTCGAGCTCTGAAATCTCCCCCCTTCTCTCTCTCTTTCTCTCTCTCTCCCTCCGCGCGACCTCCGTGCTTCGTTCGAATCGGAATCGCGCGGGACGGATCCGCGCTTCCCCCCCTGTGTCGGAGCGCAATTCCAGTCCCTACTCGATCGCCCCTGGTCTCTTCCTCGGGGGGGTGCGAGCTAGGGTTTGCGTGCGATCGTTGTTGCGATCTCTCTCTCTCTCTCCCCGTCGAGAGGTTTCTTTGATAATCGCTTCCGTCCGTGCGTGTGCGTGTGCTTTCTAGGATGTCCCGGTGCTTCCCGTACCCTCCTCCCGGGTACGCGAGGAATGGGGTCCGCGACGAGGCGCTGATCGAATCGATCAAGGTTCGTTCGGCATTCGGCTTGTGCTTTTGTGGTGGCTGGCTGCTGACCGTGTTCCGCTTCCGGCCGGGACTCGGCCTGTTTTGTGGCTTTGCGATCCGTTGCGTTGGCATGCGGCTGTATCTTTTTTATTGGTGAACGCCCGACGAGAATGTGTTTGAACTGGTTGTTTGACCTTTTGGGGGTTTAACGAAGAAGGGATAGAACTAACTGGGAAATTAATGAGACGCGACAACATGTGTCGCGGAAATGTTCTATGGACAAAATATGTGTGGCTACGAGTGCGGGTTTTGTGTGAAGAACTGACGTGCGGAATAGGAGGGTTCATGTTGAAAGTGGACAATGTGTGTGTTTTTTGCTGCAAGTAACAGCCACAAGGTTCAGAGGGAATGATGCGTCTTTCGGGTTTTTGTGAACAGTTGGCTGATGGTTTTAGATAGGAATGTTAACAAGGGCCTGCCTTCGAAAAAATTGTGACACTAAGGCGTGCATGAATTTTTTAATATGCTGAGTCAATCAAGTAAGAGTTCTTGAATGGATCAAGTAGCAGTTGCAAATGTGACACTGGAGTTGCATTTGCTTGGTTGAGTTATTGCGTCTGTTCAGTTCATGTTCTGAGGATACTAAGATCACTAGACATGCGCAATTGATGCTTAGTTGTTCCTAGCTCTTCGTGGTGATGTGGTTGCCCGGAGCGGTCTAGTTACCAGATATGCATCACTTAGTTGTGCTAGTACCTTCAGTTGCAAATATTCAGGCAATGTCATTTCTGTGGAAGTGATTGAACATGCTAAAATGGTGTGGGATGATGTATGGAACACGAAGTAAAATCCTTGGGGGAGAGAATTCTGTGTCGAAATTAATGAATACCTTTTTAAATGCTCGATAGGATGGATGGATTTCCTAGTTCATGCAGTGAATGAAAGTACAGGACTTTTTCTGATGCATACATTCTGAAAGCAATAGATTGGACTGAATTCAGCTATTATTTAAACAGAAGCATTTGACATGACTGATGCAGTGTTGAGTGATTTGGTGGAAGTGGAATTCATGACTGATAGAGTGTTGAGTGATTTGGTTTTTGCCGTGGAGTGATTTTGGTGGAAGTGGAATTCATGAATTCGAGCTTGCCTGTCCCTTTGTGACATCCTGATGAAGTACTTTCTTACTAAAATCTGAGAACTCAATCCACATGGTATTTATACTCTTGGTAACCATAAGAAATTTTGGGCAGAGGACAGGCATGGTGACGGTCTAGTTTTGAGTTTCACGTTGTTTATCATCGGTGAGGCTTGGTCATTGACAAGATGAAAGAGATTTTTTTTACTTCAATCTGTTTTTGTCACAATTGCATGCGGTTTTGCATCATAAATATTCTTTTAATAGGTCAAGCATCACAAGAATCAGAGTGCTGTACTTTCAAGTTAATGCGAGGAAGTCGATTCTCTAGGAGTTTGTGAAAAAATGGTGCATTATCGTCTTTTTGCTAATAGAATGCCATTGTCTGCTATCTTGCCTTTACAGTTTTGTTATGCCTAGGAGATCAATGCATAGAGCAATGTTATGTTGTGGTGTGAGAAAAAAGGGTTATGAGCAACTCGTTTTTTTTTGAAGTATCTTGTTTGGATAGAGCTTACTCTATTGTAACTATAGGGATACAATAATCAATGGTCTTCTATGAATTCAGAGATCCAATAATCTAGTCAGCACTCTCCTTGAAAAGGGTTGACTCCAAATAGGATTATGAGTTGTAGTTCTCGCACCATACTCCCAAATTCTCTTTTTGACATTTGGCTTGTCATCATGGTGCTTGTCTTGTTTTTCTTCTATTTGCATCTGTCAGTGTACTGTTGCTCCATTAAGATACCTTTAGTCTTGGTTAGGCTAGTCTTGTGTTGAGATAGTCACAGTGGTAGACTACTTGCTTGTGTTTCTTTATATCTATGTTCTTGCTTGGCCCGTCTGTTCTTAATGTTCAGCTTGTGCTTAAACTGATGGCTATCCTGCTTCTATGTGTGTTTAGAGAGAAGTAGAGAAGGCGAAGAAAGAAAGGAGAAAAGAGAAAAAACGGGAAAAGAAAGAAAAGAAGGTGGCCCTGGAAAATGGAGGTAGTAAAGACAAAAAGCATAGTCATAAGAGAAGGAATGAGGGCAAGAGGACCCAAGAAGACCAAAAGGCAGGAGACCATCGCAAGAAAAGAAAACATGACACTGAACACTTTGAGAAGAGCAACCTTACTGAAGAACACGGGAAACCTGTCAATTCTCTGAATTCTACGGACAGCACAATGAACAGAAGCAAAAAGCAAAAGCAAATCTTGCCTCCGGATGGTGGGCATAACCCTGGTGAGTGTGTTCAATTTTATTCCTTAACTGGGGCAGGCTGTGCACTTGTTGGGTTTCTACACTTCACATGGTCATTGATACTTGTAATTCAAATTCTTCTTATTAATGTGAAGCAAGCATTATTCGGATTCGGTTGCCTCTACAAAGGCACAAAGATCCAGAAATGCTACCCAGCGGGGAACAGCCTTGCTCTGCCCCAGTAAGGTTGGATGTCTTTGGTCATGAGAAGCATGAACATGCTCCTAGATCTAGCACAGACCAGAGAGAGCATCCCTGCTCGATTTCTTTGAGTGCAGGCGAAGGTTCTGCCTCTAAGCTTGGCCCGACGGAGCAGCGTCTCTCTTCTGGAGTAGCTGAAACATCTTCCCGAAAGAATGGGACTTCGTCCTCACCGAGCTTAGACGAGCGTGGCCTCTCTCCATCAGAAATAAAATACAGAAATCTGGTAGAAAATTGGGTGCCACCCTCGTTCCACAGTGGATGTGCTGATCTTGATGATCAGGAATGGCTTTTCGAGAGAAAACAGCTCAATTGTGATGCTGGAAAATGTAAAGCTGATTACGATGGCTTGACATATGGGAGCCCAAGCCCGTGGCCACGCATGCATTACTTACCAGAGGTTGATATGTATGCTCTGCCGTACACGGTGCCCTACTGAAATTCCCTCGGATGCAAGATGAGCAACAGGGGTTCAACTAGCTTATAGGAATGGAGTTCTCTTCGGATGTTAACCGTTTCTTGCGATCGTACCTGTTTGATCTCTAAGGCAGTCCTAATGGTATTCAGAGGGCGTAGATTTTGTGCGAGGGTTTCTTATGATAGGAAAGCGTGAAAAAGGCTGCGAGTGGAGGGCGGAGTTTTCCTAATCGTAATGACACACGGAACTGTTTTTCCCCCCATATTAACCATAATAAAAAAAATTACTCATAGCTTTTAGGTTATCGGTCATTCGGAGTTTGATCTTTAGCTATTTCTCCCACTCTTTTCACAGTGTTGTTGAGCATATCATCCTCCTTTTTCTTTCATTGCTAATTGCAATGGGTGCTGCTCCTTCCACTTCTTTCCATATCTTGGGGGAAGGGCGAGCCAACGCCCATGTACAGGCAAATGGGCAAATGGGTAAGCTCTCCGGTCAATACAGGAAGAGGAAGATATGGACTCGCTTAAGGAGGGGGGATAAAGATAAGAATATGCCTTTCAGATGTTCCTTATAGCTAAAATGCTGTGTATCTGTATATGTTCTGCATCTGCAAAAGGTGCTTGATCGGTCTCGTTACCTCACTTATAGACGTGTAATCGAACATGTTTCATGCACTGCAAGTCTGCAATTACTCTATGCGCTGCGTGATCCTACAATCACCGAACTAGTGTATAGCTAGTGTATAAGTAGTTTAAAGAGCTTCAAATCATCCACTCTTTTTATTTTTTTTCTGATTATAGATGTTTGATTTTATTTTTTGAATTGCGGTTTCAATGGGTCGGGACGACTTTGCATAGACTTCAATATCTTTTCTAGGTTTACATTCAAAATCATGTCATCATTTGCGACCTAAATTGTAAATAGATTTTATCTAGATGGCTTATTTTTATGATTATTCTTCTAAAACCGATGTGCACAGAATGTAATATGCTTTTAAATTAAATCGAACCGTCCAACATAATAATGAGAAGCAAAAGAAAATATGACTGTTTAATAAGCAAGTAATAGGAACTCGATTATTTCTTAAAAATTATTTACTGTGATGGTGCGTACTTCGCTTCTTGTCTTGCAAAGAATCACACGAATTCGTCCAAAAAATACTATGTCGATCAACTCATTTCTACACTTTCTAGAAATTTTCCTTAACACATTGGCCGATTGATTCATAAATGCTTAATCCAAAAAATCCATGCTCCTTAAACCATCTTTTTACATGGAAAGTTTGTTCTTCGATGGATCGATTTTCTCCGCATCAAATTTCTAGTTGATTTTAACTTTTGACTAACAGCTGGATTCGAATTCAATTAACTATAATTAAAGTCAGGAACTTGTTAAAATATCTGCCAGAAATTTAAAAACTTAATTCAATGATCGACGAGTTTGATATTTACATTGGAGAAAATAATATTTTTTTTCGGTCGAGCATTGGGAAAGAAAAATTTTAGCTCCGGATCGAATGCGGAAATTTTCAAATGAATACAAACGAGGAGGCGGACCATCCAATGAACCACCCGACGAGGGTCAAATCGACCCGGCGAGCGCACCGCTGGCCCATCATAAGGACCGTGCGCCCCGTGGCGCTCGATCCCAGCCCCTCCGCAGCGACGCATCGTTGAAGGCGAAACAGGCCCGAACCGGAAAAAAAGAAAAAGAAAAAAAGCACCAAAACCAAAAATAACCAGAAAGAAAGAAGCAAGTCAAAACGCGACCTTCGACATCTCTTCACACGGTGAAGAGAGAGAGAAACGGAGGAGCGACGATGATGACCGGAGTGGCCGACGACGAGGACAAATGGCTCGCGGCGGGCATCGCCGGCCTCCAGCAGAACGCCTTCTACATGCACCGCGCCATGGTAAGCACGACGCCGGAGCTCCGCTCCCCTCGCCCGCCCGCCCCGCCCCGCCCCGCCCCCGGCCCGCCAATTCCTCTTCAATTCGGCGGTCGAGAGACGTGACTTAACCCTAACCCCTCTCGATTCGCTATGTTGCCATCAGGACACGAACAACCTCAGGGACGCCCTCAAGTACTCGGCGCAGATGCTCTCCGAGCTCCGCACCTCCAAGCTGTCCCCGCACAAGTACTACGAGCTCTGTAAGCCCCCCGGTTCCTCCCGATCTGATGACTGCGGGTCCCGTCGGTTCGGGCGATCGCTCCTGATCTCGCGAGTTTCTTGATCGTCGAGGGCGGAATGCACGTTGTTGATGGGATTTTTGTGTTGCTGGTTGTTGTTTTTCTATTTTTTTGTTTTTGATTGATTGATTGATCGATCGCGCCAGATATGAGGGCATTCGACGAGATGAGGAAGCTGGAGATGTTCTTCAAGGAGGAGACGAGGCGGGGTTGCTCCATTGTGGATCTCTACGAGCTCGTGCAGCACGCGGGCAATATTTTGCCCAGATTGTAAGTGAGAGTTTCGCTACATAATGTGGTGGATTTGTTTTCTTGACTGTAGCTAATTGGGGTTTTATAAATTGCTGTGTGCATTTTGGTCTGTGCACATGGATATCTTTTTGTAGTTTGAAAGTTTAATCGGGAAGCATGTTAAGGATTTAGGTTGCTTACGCCGTGTGATGTTAATGACTTCGGCAAATGTGCGCTGTTAGAGAAATGATGGTGTAAGGAGTGTGTAGCAGCCACAGGCAGGCCCTGGGGAAGGAAGAATTTAAGTTGATGCTGAACAAATGGGAGGATCGCCTCTTTCCCTTGCTTGAGGGAGCGAGTGACTCTAAGTTTGATATATAAACATAGATACAGGAAGATTTGGAACTCCAACTTAATAGGGAGGGCATTTTCGTGGTAAAAGGGTAGAATGTAGAGATGGTGGGGATAGTAAGCCTGGACGTGAAAGTTAGCGGATTAATTAAATTGCATTCGGTATCGACTGCTGGAAATTTTTGATACATTTTTAGTGGATTGTACGAGTCGATGGAGATGGATTGCTTGGATATTCAAATTGATCTTCTCATTGTTAATACTGGATGTGGACTTCGCATGTTGAAAGGTACTCAGAAGTCCTTGGGAGCTTAAGAAAAAAGTGAGGAGGAAAAGAAGCAAAATAATATAAACGCTTCAATTGAATGCTTATTGCACAGAAAAATGAGATTTAGCTGAATAAAGATCAGAAAGTCAAGCAATCAAAGATTTGAACGATTTCCTGAAGAGGAACGTTAGATGGCTTACTAAATGCTATCCAAAACTCTAAATATATGCACTAAGCAGAAATCCTTGTGTTTTCCTGGTTTATAATTTTATCATGGTGATATTTTATCCTGGTGCTTTTTTCGCGATTATAAATATTTCTTAGTTCGTCTTGTCAAAAGGCATGTTTTGTCATTTTAGGATGTTAGGTGTAGGAGGCTTATTTCCTGTAAGTTGATGGCAGATTTAGTGATATGTCAAGTTAGGTTTCGAGTTTTTGTCTTGAACAGTGTGACAAGATAAGAGAGGTGGCTATGCATTTGTACTCACCGATAATATACAGAAGATAGCACATGTTGGCATATCCCTAGTCTGATATGTCCTCGTGATTTCCATGTGAGAATGTTTGGTTTCCATTTGAGTTTGTTAAGAAGCATTGATCAATGTAAATCTTTATTTAACTCTCACCTGTAATTGTTTTCTGGTTTAGCTATGAATCTCCCATTTCTGGCCTTGTCAGGTATCTTCTCTGCACTGTAGGATCCGTTTACATTAAATCTAAAGAGGCTCCTGCCAAGGACATTCTAAAAGATCTTGTGGAAATGTGCCGAGGTATCCAGCATCCTTTACGTGGACTCTTCTTGAGGAGTTACCTCTCTCAACTTAGTAGGGATAAACTACCTGATATTGGATCTGAGTATGAAGGGTAAGGGAATCAAACGGGAGTACTGTTAGATTTGAAGTTGATTTACTAAGTTCATTGAATTCACCGGCATGTTCCTGGGTTGTCTAGAGATAATCCACCTTTTCCTGTCCTTATTCTGCAAAATCCAGTTGCAATGCCAATCTGACTTTGTAATCGGATAATTATGCAGCTTCTTCCATTGGATATAAATTGCGCTAAAAATTCTCACAAAAAACGAATTTTGCGTATTGCTTAGAGCCATGTATCCATTTGGTCAAAATATCCTGTACATTTATCTATATATCTGTATGTACATGTATATGTAGAACACAGACACAACTAGGCATCCAATTTTATAACCTTCCAATTTCATTTCATCTTGATGCTATTCTGTTTCTGGCTTTCTGATGTATCTGCCAATATATGCTAAAAGACTTAAGCCTTTCTGTACTGGCTTTCTGGAATCCTGCAGAGATGCTGATACAATTACGGACGCAGTGGAATTTGTACTCCAAAACTTTACCGAGATGAACAAACTTTGGGTGCGGATGCAGCATCAGGTTGGTAGAGCTACTTGCTGATTGTTACATGTTTGGACATGCTTAGAGTCAATGTGTTTGCATGACAGGAAGGTAATATGGTATCACGAGGGCATGATTTCTGGTCATGCAGGTGTTGTAGTGCTTATGTATGATTCATACTCTTGGTGATCCTGAGTTGAGGCTTGGTGTCGGGCTTTCTCGTCTGCAGGGACCTGCTCGGGAAAAGGAGAAACGGGAGAAGGAAAGAAGCGAGCTGCGTGATCTTGTAAAATCAGTGACCTGTGATTGGTGATTTTGACAGCTGAAATTGAGTATGTGCTCATTGAACATGCTTTTCTGGCTCCTGCTCTTTTCAGGTTGGGAAAAACCTGCACGTCCTTAGTCAGATAGAGGGTATTGACCTTGACATGTACAAAGATACTGTGCTTCCTAGAGTGCTGGAGCAGGTATATCTCTGATTATAAAATTCACGTCTCTTATGATGCCTAACATGTGAATCGTACTTGTTTAACAATGTGCTATTTTTTATGCCAAATACAGGTTGTCAACTGTAAAGACGAGATTGCTCAGTATTACTTGATGGATTGCATTATTCAAGTATTTCCTGATGAGTATCACTTGCAAACACTTGAGGTCTTGTTGGGTGCATTTCCCCAGCTTCAGGTAACAAATCTTTGGTAGGACCTTCTCTCCCAACCCCGGTCCTTCTCTCTCTCCCCGCCTTTCTCTCTTCTTGTCTTCATTTGCTTTTTTTTAGATGTCTATTTTTTTTTTTTTTGCATTGTGGTTACTACAAACAATTTTGGTAATTGCACTAAAGTAGTCACATCCATATATACCCTTCCGAGCTCTCTTCTGAACTTTCTATCTCACATTTTCTCTTTTATTTGGTTTTCTTTTTCAGGCATCCGTTGACATCAAGACGGTGTTATCCCAGTTAATGGAAAGGCTCGCGAGTTATGCTGCTTTAAGTTCTGAAGTGTTACCTGAATTCTTACAGGTTGAAGCTTTCTCAAAGTTGAATAGTGCGATTGGGAAGGTAAATCTCGTCTATTGGGCTTGTAGGATCGAAGCTATCTAATTTTTTGTAGCATAAGATGACAGAACGTTTCAGAAATTAGGAAGGATTGTCTTCCTGTGCTCAGATTTCAGCAGATGTTGCCACTTATTAGTGAGCTTGTCCCTATAGCGATAACATGGATAGATAAAATATAGTTGATGATATTATGGATATAATCGCCTCCATGTTGTTTTAGGATTTTAGCTCATCCAATAAGGATTATGAACTTGGATGCTATTGTTAGAGTAAGACTTCACTTATCCCATGGAGGATCAAGTTGGACACTTATTGTGATTAATCTAAGGTTTTATTAGTCACTGGTTAAAAATAAATTAGGGTTTTGTGAGTTTTGAAGTGATGTACCTTCTAATGGCTGTGGGCCTGATATGATAGTTTGAAGGGGAGCTAAAAGGGTAGGGGCAATGAAATTTAATTAATAGCAGGGCAAACTCCTATTTGTCTCACCATGAGGCTGGATACTTTTAGGCACTTAGATTGTGCTTTGCTATGGCTTAATCAGGTTCATGTATCTTTCCATGAAGCTTTGGCAGTGCAAACCGCAAATGAAGTGTTTAAAGCCTATTTGATTTTTAGTAGTCTTGGAAGGGCGTTGCATAGTCATGGCGAGGGAGAGTTGTCAAATTGGATCACCCCCTCCACACAGTTTTTGGTGGAAAAATAAAAAGTTCCTCTAAGATGTCATTTGGTTATACATCAATAAAGATATGGATTAGTATGGGATCGAAGTTTTGAAGTTTGATTAGAGCTCTAAAACATGGGGCTCAAGGCAAACTAGTCAGATCTTTTTAAATCACCATAAGAAACTCAATGTATTACTTAGCAGCTCCCAAGCAGTAGGAGGAGATTGTTGGGGCTCTGACCGGGTGCCTATTGAAGAATGAGCTGGCAACTCGTAGGAGTGGCTTAGTTAAGGGAACCAACTGCAGCTGTAGCAAAAGCTGTTTCGCACATGTTGCATTTCTCCTGATATATTTAGCCGGTTGTCTGTGTTCTGTTTTGTAGATCAGGTTTATTTATCTGAACAATTCGCTTTTTATATACTAGAATTAGTTTTGCACCTGCTTATATCTCATTTGTCGATTATTTTGGTCAGTCGCCTATATTTTTCAAGCAACTCAAAGTGTGCTTCTGTTTTTTTTTTCAGGTGATAGAAGCACAGCCTGATATGCCGGTTGTTGGAGCTGTAACCTTATATTCATCTCTTCTTAAGTTTTCTCTCCATGTTCATCCCGATCGACTGGATTATGCAGATCAAGTCTTGGTATGATCTACCGTGAAATAAACTTTATGCATCAGTTTGCTTTATCCTCCCTCCCTTTGTGTTTTTTGCTCATTAAGTAAGCTTGTGTGCATCCTTCTTGTCCCTATTCTACCGTTTACGTTTCTTTTACTGAAATGCTATCTAATGTTGTTTGAGGAAGAAGCACAAGTGTTGGGGGCAGGACAAGCACCCCCCCTTGTGTAAATAATAGTAGGAAGATGGGGCAGGTTTGGGTAGATTTCAGCATACAATCAGCTGAAGCTAGCAAAATACTTTCATCCAAGATCTCTTTCCACTGAATAAGTATATTTATTTGGTTAAACTATGTTGTAGTACAGAGGCTCTTATTTTGTACTTGCACCCCAATAGGATGATTCCATAATTACTTGTTTCTTCTTTCTCGTTCTTTCTGGTGTTGATCTTCTTAAACTCGAGCATGAGCTTGCATTGTATGTATTAATGTTTTCGGGATTGGCAATATTTCAACACTTTACCTTTATTAAAGCAGATGTATAACTTCGACATTGGACTGGCTTCAAGTTGTATCGGATTGTGCAGTCAGTTTTCTAGTAGTTGCTAGAGGCCTAATTTGGGACTAACGATATGGTTCATTCCCACTTTCTCCTTTAGGGATCATGTGTCAAGCAGCTCTCTGGAAAGGGGAAGATTGAAGACAGTAAAGCAACAAAACAGATTGTTGCTCTTTTAAGTGCTCCGCTTGAGAAGTATAATAATGTGGTTACTGCCTTGAAGCTTTCGAACTATCCCCGCGTTATGGAGTACCTTGACAATGAAACAAATAAAGTGATGGCAACTGTTATAATTCAAAGCATTATGAAGAACAATACGCGTATTTTGACTGCTGACAAGGTATGTCTTTGTACTTGGTATAGTTGGCTACGTGGACTTTATGGGATGTAATGTGGATTGCTTGTTGTGTAGGTTGAGGCATTGTTTGAACTAATAAAGGGACTTATCAACGATTTGGATGAAACTCTTCATGATGAGGTGATTGAATGTTATGCACCCATTCTTCTTTTGAGCTCATAGTGTAAATTTTCACTGTCTGCATATTTGTTGTAGTTTGGTACTGTTCTCTTATCATATACTTGCTTTGACTTATAAAACTACTGAAAGTAAGGCAGTATGCACCCTTGCTAAAGCAATATTACCTCTTAGGTCGATGAAGATGATTTCAAGGAGGAACAAAATTCCGTTGCACGTCTTATTCAGATGCTGTATAATGAAGATCCAGAAGAGATGTTTAAGGTACTCTTTTCTTTTCTTTTCGACCGTCGAATTTTTATGTGCTTAGTGTACCCTCTTAAGTCATTTAAGCACTGTTTGCCTTTCTCGCCCTTGTCATTGCCAATTTGAAGCTACTCTAAATATGGAAGTTTTAATCTTTAATAGCTCTAGCGGTCTTCAACCTGAAATTTTTCTCTGCTATGTAAATGTACGTACCTGTGGCCTCTCGGCTGCTCTTTTTGCCTTCTGTCTGTCAATGATAATTTGACAAGCTACTTTTAAGAAGTCATTGAGGTAAATGAGACTATTTCTGGTTGTTTATCGAGAGAAAAAGGCAATTTGAGGACCTGTCTCTAATCTTTTATTTGAAGCGTGTGAGTAGTTTCTTCGATGGTATTTTTATTGCTGTCTGGTCAGTTCCTAATAGTTGCTTTGTACTGAAACAATTCAGTGATCCAATTTCATCCATTTTTGGATAGGTATGATTAGTTCCCCCAAAAAAGAAATTAAGGAAGACTTTGCATAATGTGAGAAACACTGCCTATGTAAATTTATTGGATAGAGATCTAAAACTCGTTATTTGGGAAAAAAAAAATTCTGTGCTTAACTAAGTAATATTGATCAGCATTACAAAAACACTTACATAATTAACCAAATCTAAAGATATATAAAGAGATTAATGAAGAGGAATTGACACTGCACATCCATGCGAATACAAAGAAAAATTAAATTTTGTGTAAATCAGTCGGCTACTCATTCAGACGATAATCTTGTTCAAATTTCTACAACTTAGGCTCCGTTCGTTTGGCGGAAAATATTCTCCTTTTGGAAAATATTTTCCCGGAAGTCATTTTCCTGGAAAATGTTTTCCTGGAACATAATTTTCCGGTGTTCGGCGACCAATATGAAAAAGTTTCGGAAAATATTTGGCGGCGGCCGCCGGCCGGCGACCAGCGACCCGGCGTGGCGGCGGCGGCCAGCGGGCTGCCGGCGGCGGCGGCGGGCGGGCGGGCGGCCAGCGACCGGCGACCAACGGTGGTGACCGGCGATCAACTTCCTCTCCCACGGAAAATATTTTCCCTCCCATGGACAATTTTGCCTTCAATTTGGGGGAAAATGATTTCCTCTTTGTGAAAAGAGGAAATCATTTTCCTCAAAACAATGAAGGATTTGGGGGTGGGGAAGGAAAATGTTTTCCATTTTCCGCCCCCGAACACCGGAAAACGCGGAAAATATTTTCCGGAAAAATATTTTTCCGCAAACGAACACAGCCTTAAAGTGTACTTTCTGCAATGGTTCTTTGGCAACAGCTGACAAAATGTTACAAATTCATAGCTCACTTCCACTTTCACCAAAAGATAGAAAACTGTATCTGTTGGTCACACTTAAAACTTTTGTAAGATTGTCTAACAGCATAATATTCGGCATATCTTTGAATGACTTGGAGGATCTCAAAGTGGATTATTTTGCTTACCACATCCAATACAGTACTATCATTTAATGTACTTAATCTTGGTATGTTAATCTGTACACATGAGATCGTTGCAGTACTGCTAGTACTTTTCACTTTCTACAAGTACTATAATTCATCAGTGACAAAACTATGCTCCTTTCAAATTCATATTCTTCTCTACATTGCAGATTATATGTGTTGTGAAGAAGCATATCTTGACTGGAGGGCCAAAACGCCTATCCTTCACTGTTCCTCCGCTTGTTTTTTCCTCTCTTAAGGTTTGTTTCTTCCGTGTCTAAGTTGTGTTCTGCTGATACCTTTCTATTAAAAGCGATGAAAATTTTAAACTGTTTTCCTTATGGTTGGATATGCATCGTTGCATTGTTGGTATATCTACCATTCACTCCCAGTCCCACGTGTGTTGTCGGGCCATTTATGTGTCTATGTACGGGGGTGTATCTTTCTGGGCAATTATCATCTTCTCAAAGCATTATTAGCATTGTTTAGAATATGAAAAAAGAAGAAAACTACAAGAGCTGTTACAAACAAGGACCCTTATTGATGCTACATTGTCTGAGGTGTCCAGTTGGTCAGACAATTGCAAGGCCAAGATGAAAACCCTTTTGGAGATGAGGAGTCAACTTCAACCAAAAAAATTTTCCAGCTCTTGAATCAGGTAAGGTTCAGTTATAATTACGATGTTTGTGTTTTTCTTAAAATCCCTACCAACTTGTTCATGCATGAGAATTGGAAAGACGTTTCACACTATTCAAGAATCCAGTATGTACGCTTGTTGGGATAAGCAGTCCTCCTCAGGGGTCCTTCTTAGCCCACGTTACTATTTTTCATCATGCTCAGTCTTGACAGATGGTATGGTGAAGGCTTTTGATGTCGTGCATCTTGTAGCTTTATATACTCACCAAGCTTCCTTTAATTTCGCTCAGATTGTTGAGGCATTGTCCAGCATTCCGGCACCTGATCTGGCATTGCGGTTATACTTGCAATGTGCTGAGGTATCCAATCATAGTGTACTAATAATGAGGGTTTTGTCGAGATCTGTCTCTCACTATATTGGCATCCTCTCAGGCTGCAAATGATTGTGACTTGGAGCCGGTTGCGTATGAATTTTTTACTCAGGCATATATTATATATGAGGAGGAAATTTCTGTAAGTTTACAGCAACCCTTGGAATGATTATGATCTCCTTTCCCTTGGGGAGATATGATTTTCTAACTAAGCTTGTGACTCGAGAAGACGCATGACTTCTTTTACTTCTGCTTTGTTGATAGGATTCCAGAGCTCAGGTGACTGCAATGCATCTAATAATAGGAACTCTTCAGAGGATGCATGTTTTCGGTGTTGAGAACAGAGATACTTTGACGCACAAAACTACAGGGGTAGTTAGCAAATTTTTTTTTTAAAAGTTATAAAGCTCTCTACCTTATGTCTGGTGTATCATAACATAATCCTTTTTTGTGGGCAGTACTCTGCTAAGCTATTGAAGAAGCCTGATCAATGCAGAGCCGTATATGCGTGCTCTCATCTGTTTTGGGTGGATGATCAAGACAACTTGAAAGATGGAGAAAGGTTTGCCATTGTTTGCTCTCTGATTTTTATTGTGCTTTTTCCTGGAAACTTGTACTAAGAAGTGGAGCCATGTGCTTATCCTGATGTTGAAGAGTCACCTGTTTGTAGGTTCTCTCTTGCCAAGTTTGCCCTTTTCTCTTCTTTATTGTTATGATGCTAATCTGTGTGTTATAAAAGCGTTCTTGAGTGTCCTATCAATTTGACCAAAAGCTCCTCTCCCGTTGCAAAGGGAGAACAAAAGAGGCCCATTCAAAGTTGTTGGACCTTTTTCCAAAGGACGAAATATGCACACATGGAGTGTTATCTGCTATGTTGTATAATGTTGCATTACAGCACAAATTAAAAGTTCTGCATTTCCAACGAACTCTTTTACCAAAAGGGGAAGGATGAAGACAAGGAAGAGGATAACACAGATTGTTCTAGTCATCATGCTTTTTGTTTTTGAATGTATTTGTTTTCTTTTGATTAATACTGAAATAGAAGACCTAGTTGACCAACTCTTCGGTTTGTAAAAATCATGGAAGAAGATGGGATGCAGGGGCCTCATTTATATCATTATAGGCTTTATGTTTCCTGTTCTATCTTCATTCGCTTTGTTTCTTTCAGGGTCATGCTTTGCCTGAAACGTGCATTGAGAATTGCGAATGCTGCCCAACAGATGTCCAATGCAACAAGAGGGAGCACTGGTTCAGTGATGCTCTTTGTTGAGATTCTAAACAAGTAATAATTTACGGTCATTGCACATTTCATCATACTTTCTTTTCTTGTTTATATCTATATTAATTTTATGAGTTGGGCCATATGTCATTCTTGGCAGGTATATATATTTCTTTGAGAAGGGGAATCCGCAGATAACCGTTGCTTCAATTCAAAGCCTGATGGAATTGATTACCACTGAGATGCAAAGCGACACTACCACCCAAGATCCAGCTGCCGATGCTTTCTTTGCCAGTACGTTGCGTTATATACAGTTCCAGAAACAGAAAGGAGGTGCCATTAGCGAGAAGTATGGGACCATCAAGGTGTCAGATTCTTGATAAGTCGATCCGCTCGCCAACGGGCTACAGTCAACATTTTGCTCCAGAGACACACTGCTTGAGTTTGTCTGCTACAGCATGGGTCGCCGGTTAACCACGCGTAAATAGATTTTGTGATAGGAAAATCCAATGCCTGACCCTTTAGTGCAGCCAGGGACTTAAAAGAGAGTAATCCTACCTTTGTTTGTGAGCCAGAGTCACCCATTTCTACGAAGCAGATAAGAGGGGTCGTCGCAAGTATTTTGCGCCACTGTGAATACTGTTTGTTGTTGTCATGTTAGTTTTCTTTTAATTGATAGTTGAAATTCTGAGAGAATTCCACATTCTTAGCTCTTTTTTGATTGCTGAAGCCTTGTGTACATTTCACGCGACGGTTGTTTAGCATCCGAATATCTTTTCCCAGGTTCGTTACTTTTTTTCATCAATAACAAGGCGCTACGCTTTGTGTAGAAACATACTATGAACCCAGTCTTTCAGGTTCCATCTTGCACGTTCGTTTATGGCTGCAAACCATGGAATTAACAAGCCTGGAAAAGACATTCTTGTTCTTTTTCCTATGAAAGGGTCGTCGGGTGTTCGTTCACAATTGACTATAATTCCTCGCAGGGTATGGTACTCGAATAGAATGTGCAAATGCTGCGATCAAAGAAGGCGAACGAGCTTTCGACTCGAGAGAGATGACGGTTGTTGCAGTAGCAAATCTTGCTGCTGTGTTCCTGCTCGTCTTTCTTTTGTGCTTTCTATATTTCTGGTTATGACTTTGCCAAGGTTTTGATATCAGGGAGTGTTGATTTTGAAGCCCTGATCTTGCCGGGTGAATGTGTTTATCTTTATTTTCTTCACCGAAAGAAAAACGAAGGAGCAAACTTTAAGGGGCGTTTGGCAAGTTGCCAAATAATAAAAATTTTTGTTCTTTTGTTCCCAGAATCAGTTTGGGAACATAAATCCGTTTATTAAATTTTTTGTGCCCGGGCACAAATTTGCAAAAAATTGTTCCCAGAATCAGTTATAGAACAGAATCAAGAAGCAAAAAAAAGTAGCTTCTTGATTTTGGAACAATTTTTCCATTTCTGATTTTTCTTGATTTTCTTCTTCCATTTTGGTTTGTTCTTCGTCTTCTTCCCGGTCTGCCACTGGCTGGCCGTCTCCGATAGGCCACCGGCGACTGGCTAGGGCCGGCGAAGGCGGCCCTCGCCGTCGCGATTGGCAAGGGCCGCGACGCCCTCGCCGGCCCTAGCCTGTGGCCGGTCACCAACGCCGGCGACCAGCCATGGCCAAGGAAATGAAGGAAAAAAAAGAAAAAAGAAATATTAAAAAATTCAAAAAATCATTAAAATATTATTAATAAAAAGAAATTTTGTATAGTTTTTTTTTTGTCGGTCCTACTCTATCTCTCACTCACGATACACACTCAGACTTGCGCCCCACCTCTTGCAGGGCGTGGGCGTCGAAACTTACATCTTAAACTACGCGGCCCCACCCCTACCCCCTGCGAAGGTGGGGATTCGAACTCCCTACCCTCCCCTTCTCAAGTGAGAAGGGTGGCCGCTGGGGTAAACCCCCAGTGGTTAAATTTTTTATAGTTACCAAACGCATTTTTGTTTTTTTTTCTATTCTAAGAATAGAAATTTTGGGCAGTTACCAAACGCCTTCAAATGTTTGGAAATTATTCCCGGGCACAGAATAAAAAAGAATCATTTCTGAGCAGAATCAGTTTTCGGGCACAGAATCGTTGCCATATGCACCCTAAAGTATCCTCCCAGTGATTCAAGCGGAAAAGAGCGAGAGAGAATGAAATTTCATCATCTTATTGGGAGCTCAAAAGTCAGAATCAACACCCCAGAAACGACGCTTAGGAATCGAATCTGAAGAGGCCTTATAATTCCAAAGTAAAACTTATTCTAGTAAAGCGACTTCTTCTCTATACGACCCTCTTTAATCTTTCTTGATCATGAACCTTCAGCCCATGGCATACTTCTGAGTCCAGCTCCGGGCCATGGCTTCGTATTTGGGTCTGTCGCTCTTGTACATGTGAGCAATCTCCGGCACGAGCGGGTCGTCTGGGTTCGGATCCGTGAGCAGAGAGCATATGGAAAGCAATACCTGCATGTTAAAATGGGATCCAGTTTCACATTTAGCAAGGGATGTGCAGCTCAATAAACATCTGTGTTTTTATCTTCGAAGCAATATAAGAACTTAGAGGTACGCGCGCACAGACTAGAGATTAAGGGCAACGGACATCTGTGTCGGACTCATGTAGACCACGACCGATCGAACTCCCCGCTGTACATGGTTGGGTTGATAGTATTAAGCGAATTTAAAACTTCTCCTTTATATCATGATCATAAAATCGTTAACTCTGGCTCTAAGGAAATACCGCCACAGCTCGTCGTTGTCATCGAATCCACGGGTTTTTTTCTACTGAATCTAGGACACTCGCGACATTTCCGATGTTATTAGTCTAATTTAGTGAAACAGGATCAGAAGTAGTCTGTTCTCTGAACTTTTTCCCGGAGCATTACAATCATTAAGTAATCTATATCGGATCTTTATGAAGAAGGAATCACCTTGGATATAGTGAGGGCAGGACTCCATTGCTCCTTGAGGATGTCCAAGCATATGTTTCCGTTGCTGTTGATGTTTGGATGGAATACTTTGGTCCTGAAAGCTACCTGCTTTCCAAAAAGGAAAACATTCAAACTCTACATTCATATTGTTTCGGAAAATGACTCATTTGAATTTCACAACTCGGGTTAGCCCAAAAGAAAAAAGTATTCACCTTTGGAGGCTTGAAAGGGTAGTCCGGCGGAAAATGAATCGTCACCAGAAAAACTCCGCCCGAATACGGACTGTCGTTCGGGCTGATGATGGTCGCTTGCCAATGGAACATGTCCTCAGCCACGGGGCCTAAGTCCAACACCATCAAAGTGAGTCCCGGAAAATAGAAACAAACCTTCCATAAAACTTAGGTACTATACAGTATACATCTTGATATTACATTTTGCCATTATTCCTTTCACTCCACTAATTCATCAAGCTAAGCCTTCCATGGAAAAAACGAATGACAAGTGGCTCTTGCGCGGTCACGCATCAGTATCATTGAGTATTAGGATCACATGCAAGTAGGATGAAGAGATTGTACATGTTAAAGGATGAGGAAATTTAAAAAAAAAAAACATTGTGGAGGAGTATCTGGTAATGTTGACAGGAACTAGGAGCACCTGCGCTGCATGAAGTTGGAGGATCCCTTTGCAAGTCCCGGAGCTCTTTCAGGATTCTCTTCGACGCCATTGCGAAAGGAACTTTTTCGTTGGACGCCGGGAACGCAATTCTCTAATTCAATGGGATGGACGGCAAATTTTTTTTGCCTTGGAGACAGACCTGCGGCTCACAATGAACCTGGATTTACAGCTTTGTAGATGAAGAGTGAGTGGTTGTGTGGTCCAGTGGTATTATAAAGAATGAAGGAGCCCAGAAATTACAGGCATTTCTAGAGAGGGTATAAATTCCAAAGGGAGCAGCAGCACAGGATTCAAAGACGCTTTTTCCTTCTCTCTTTCCATGGTCATATCTCTTTAAGAAAAAAATAGAAAATTTTAGCAAATTCTCGACCGTTCTCAATGACCACTTTTTGCCTTTGCGTTGTATATATCTTGATCGGTCGACATTGATTAATAGGATTTTCATCAGGAAGACCATCGGTTGAGAAAGATTGGTTCCTAAAAGAGGTGTTTGATTGGTACTGCACTTAGTTATCGTAACGTTCATCGGGTCGAAGAATCATTAGCTTGTGGCCTCATACGGTTCATGTTCGTCGATTATTAAACTCTCTAGGGTCAGAATTGGCGAAAGAAAGGTAGAAATCGGCACTCATGTTAGAACTTGGTATAAAGGTTTTCTAACTCTACTGTCTTTTACCACAGCAAAACTCCATTACTTGTCAGAAGCTTCGGCTCAGGACATGGTGCAAATGGCCAAAGGCAAATCGCTTTAAATATTCCTTTTGGATTTTTATCAAGAATTCCTAACCCGCAAATGGGATTCAATGAGCCTTTCACATGCGAAGTCGACATTAAAGTGGAGCATCCTTGCACAGAGGCCTCCCATCAACATGCAGATTCCATTTGTTTTCTCTCATTCCATCACCATCAACGATTCCAGTTCATTTACCAATCAGGCCAAAAAGAAGGCGAATCGCACTGAGCCGTGAGAATACCAACAAGTGAAGAAACTATGGATGACTTGCGATGATTATTACCGTAAACTCATCAACCAACAAAAAATCTGCGGATAGAAGTCATTCGACATCCCAGAAATTCACACAGCGAGTACTGCACAAACAAAACACAAGTTTCGCAACTGAACATAGAAATCGGAGCGAGATTGTGACAGGAAAAAGAATCGAATAATTGATACAAGAGCACCTCCATTTAAAACTCCAAAAGAAGAAAAAAAGAGTGGGACGGGAACGATTTTGAAAGCGACGTTCGTTTTGGGCATCTGATCTCCTCAACTTTGCTCCTTTCAGATACCTTGGAAGTATGATGACCCCCGTATATTTATCCTAACGCCTACATTTCAACCATTTCATATCTCATGGAATAAAAGCAGACCCAGAGAGAGAGAGAGAGAGAGAGAGAGAGAGAGAGAGAGAGAGAGAGAATCACTTTCTGATCTAAAAGAAATGGGGAAGGTCAACGGATGCTGCTATAAAGATCCACCAATTTGTCATCATAAAGTGATCATGAGCTGGACTGATAGAAAAGCATAGATGCGATCCATGCAAGAAAGGTTTTTTCTCTCATTAAATGCGGTTCATTAATACATAGAATTATCAAAGTCAAGAATTGCAGACGACACGTGGACAAACACAAGAACTAGATCACCATGACGCCAATCGGGCGGTACTGGACGGTCTGATGCTTCGCAAAGAAAGTCTTGTCACTTGGCACAGCAAATCAGTAACGGCATCTTCTTCTAAAAGCAAAGCAAGAACGGAGGAGATACAGGCAGAGCAACCGGCTGTTCTGTCTTCGAGCTATTATCAATCACAATATGGAGCAGGCTTTTTGGGCTTTGCTCTTCTTTTTCTTTTGTTTGGGTGGTTGAAGCACAACTCTTATGGCTTGATCAAACACTGCCTTCACATTCTGCAGTCACAAAGCGTGACCATGTCAAAACAAGACCGATGGAGGTATTGCAAAAAAAAGACATTAAGTTTTACTTCACATGCACAAGTACCTGCTGTGTCTTTGAGCTGCACTCGATATATGCAGGTGAGCCTATCAGCTTTCTCAACTCCTCTCCCTAGAAGAAAGGATAAATCAATTATCAGAACTCAGATAGGGCACAAAAGTTGGAAAGAGAAGTCACTTGTGAGAAAAAATCCCAGTATTAACAAGTACCTGAGCTGTAGTAATTGGCACTGCACCAGGATGATCTATGAAAAACTGCTTATCATCTCGAAGATCTGGTAAGATTTCATTCAACACCCAAAACAACCAAGTTATTTACAATTAACAGAGCCACCATAAAAGGCAGATTAGAGTTTCAACAATTGCTGTAATTTGTAGACTGAATCTAAGCTCAAAGTTTATCTTCAATCACCAAAGTGAAAAATGCTATCACAGGTAGAGAGGTACACATTTGCCATAAATAAAACAGGTAGAGAGGTACACATTTACCAAAAACTAGTTGCAGTATTCAGGAGACAAAACGTGCAAGAGCAAAGCCATCACTATGGAAAAACATAAGGTAGCATGATAGACAAGTAATTCATCTTCATCAGCATGTCATGCCACCAGCTTATTCAAGACTCTGAAAGTCCTCAAACTATCTTGCCTTTGTCATTATGACAATTAGGAAAGTAATTTATGCAACTTCTGACGCTTTCTACCAAGTTATGTGCATAGATGAAGAGCAGTGACTTCATGACAGATACCACCAGGATCCAGGAACCATCAGTCCAAATGTTTAGCTGAGAGTTACTAAAAATTTTGCTGGTGCCTGAGGCATAAGGTGTCTTCTACACTTGTAGACAGTCTTATGAGGACAAATCATATTCGAAACCATAAAATCAAATTTATGGCCTCTAAATATGACACAATTGGAATATCAGTAACACCATAACCTATTAACTGCTTCAAAGTATGAAAAAAAATCAAAATGATGCCACGGAAGAAATGCTCTTGGCCATGTTCTGACCGAATAAAGCCTATTGATGCGCTGTCGATTCTTGAGCAAATGTCAACACAATGAGTTGGAGATCCTAAGTTCACAACCTAAATTCTAGAAAATGTGAAAGATGAATAAAATGCATGAACTTAAACCAGTGATAATATGACAAAGGAAGGGTCAACGATGCAGAATTGGAAACCCAAACATCTCATCATACAGTTCAAACCAACAATCCAGAATAAAGCTTGTGGGCTTGTGGCAACTTCATTGCTATTACATCAATTAACCCCAGAAACACTTCAGGAAAGAAAATGAAAGAGAGGTAAAGTAAGTGCAACATAGCATTACCGCAATATATAGATACAGATGGAGACATGAAATAAGTAGCATAAGAGTAGAAGAGTTGCCCCTGTATGGTAATGAGAAGTGGTCTTACCAAGCTTTGTCCCAACAAGAACAATTGGGACACCAGGTGCGTAATGCTTCAACTCCGGAATCCACTGGTAATGAAAACAAAGATGCAGACAGATTTATCAGCAATGGAGAGAGAGAGAGAGAGAGAGAGAGAGAGAACTTCATTTGTCTGACCTTCTTAGAGACATTTTCATAGCTGGCCTTGCTAATGAGAGAGAATGCTAGAATGAAAACATCTGCCCCGCGATAGCTCAAAGGTCTTAGTCTGTTGTAATCCTCCTGTCCTGTTCCACACAAAAGAAGAATTAATCCAGGAGGCAAAAGCAAAATATCTAAGCTAACAAAGAAGACACGGAGTCAATCAAAGAAAATGACCTGCAGTATCCCACAGTCCCAGGTTGACAGTGCTTCCATTGACAACCACATTAGCACTAAAGTTGTCGAAGACGGTGGGCACATAATCCTATTTTCAACAAAAGAGTCCAGTGAGAAGATTCCAAAGCTCACATGTTGAAAGAAAAAAAAAGATTGTGTTCCACGGCAAACTCATCCAACGACACGATACAAATTAAGCCATATAGAACCACGAGTCCACGACTTGATCAGTTGGCGCGCGCGCGCGCACGCACACACACAGAGAAGGCATGCGCAGCTGCGGGTGTATCCAAAGTTCACCCACAAGAATATAACAATGACGCGGAACCAACCAATGAACCTAGAACCCAGTTCCAAAATTCACCATATCTCTTTACCTTCAACCACTACTCTTTTCTATAACTGTCACAGGAAACAGATGCATTCAAATCAGGCCAAGATGCAGCCCACCAAAATAGTGCTATTCAGATAATGCTGCCATCAACCAAGACAAAAGAAGCAGCTAGGAAAAAAAATCTGCCGTAAACCATATGCGCCGAATTCAAATATAACTTTCAGACTTCAATCGACAACATCCAAACAAAATCTAACCCGCAGCTCAGATTCACAAAGGAAGACAGAAAAGATAAAAGGGCATAAAACAAAAGCCAAAATCTTTCAAACAAAAAAAGAAAAGAAAAGAGAAAAAAAGAACAAAGAAAGCATACAGAAAGAAAGAAAGAAATGTTCCGTCTTTCGTTATTACCGACATAGCTACCAAAATAACAACGAATCTCACCTGCATTCCCAAGAATCCTAAAAAGAAGAAGCACCGATAATTCAACAAAAGGAGGAACATTTGCAAGATTCGATCGAGAGGCCGGGCTCACCGTGGGGAAGGTGTTGCTGGTGTAAGAGATGAGCAAGCAAGTCTTGCCCACCGCCCCGTCGCCGACCGTCACGCACTTTATGAACCTCGACGCGCTCATCCTTCCCAACCCTGCCGGAGAGAGAGAGAGAGAGACCGAACAAGCAGCTCCCTCGGATCTCCTCCTCCGTCCTTCCCCGGGGACGACAATCAAATCGCGCGACAAGGAGAGCCCCCCCCCCCCCCCCCGGCTCCCTCTCAACAAAGAAGAAGAAGAACAACGCCGCCTCCTCCTCCTCCTCCGCCGCCGCCGCCGCCTCTCCTCCTCCTCCACATCCACAAGCAACGGGGAAGGGAAGGGGGGGATAAACCCTAAAGCTCCGAAATGCGGGATGCGATCGAGGGCGGCGAGATCGAATTTGCGATGAAGCGCAGGAAGAGAGAGAGAGGGAGGGAGGGAGGGAGGGAGTTGCAGAGGATTTCTGGGAAGTGAAGAGAGAGAGAGAGAGAGAGAGAGAGGAAGAGGAAGAGGAGTTCGTTGTTGTTGTGCGGGAAAAGATGCAGTTGAAGCGTTCGTTGAGCGAACCGATCGACGCCAACAAATCCACCTCCTCCCCCCCCCCCCCCCCCCCCAATCCCCTCCTTCTCATCTGTCTTTCCCCTCTGTCCTTTTCTGTTTCTTTCCTCTCTCCCTCTCTCTCTCTCTCTCAATCTATTTTCCTTCCTTTTTTTTCTTTTTCTTCTGAAAATCCTCTTTGGTTTTTTTTTTGTTTTCATATTCTTGACCATTTGACTTTTTGGAGCATCATTGGTTCTCCTCTAAAAACGCCGCGAAAACAAAAAAAAAATGCCAAACCGGTAATTTTACAGTTTGCTAGTTTTCATAAAATTTTATTATCGAATTTCTGAATCGGATGACACGTGACAATTGACGGATATACTAGTTTAAGGGTTTCACCCCTTTATTTATCATGGGTGTACCAGTTTGTGATTTTTCATGGTATTAATCCAATTTAACGGAGGGTAAATTTGACACAAATGTACCAGTTTGAGGTTTTATGGGTGTAGCAGTTTGTGATTTTTCGTTGTATTAATCCAATTTAACGGAGGGTAAATTTGACACAAATGTACCAGTTTGGGGATTTTGGTGGTAAAAAAATTAATTTGACGTATATTTATCACGGGTGTACCGGTTTAGGGTTTTTGGTGGTAAAAAAATTCGTTTGGGGTAAATTTGTGACAGGGCGTATCGTTTTGAGATTTTTCGTGATATTAACCCTCATATTTTTTACCGTTTGACTTTTTGGAGCATCATGGTTCTCATATAAAAAAATATTTTATAACTGGCCGTAGATTATCACTTATTAAATAACCACTTAAATAATTTGGAGATTTCGAACCATTTTATATTGACAACTTGATACACTTTCTGGGCATTATCTTCGCTAGAATAACAGGTAGGAGTGTTAAAATTCTCAACGGAGATTCGCGCACGAGCATGAACGTCTTTTTTTCTTTCTGTCTTAACAAAAGGGAATGTGCGAGTTGGAGTTCGCGTAGAATTTCTAAGAACGCACCGAAAATCGAATGATTTCATGTCGAGCATGTTTATTAACTCGTTAATATAATCCTTTGCAAGCAGGTGCATGGCATTGCTTTATCTTTCATTAGGTTTAAATATAAAAAAAAAACGGATCAAAAGAAATTGTCTTATTTAGGTTGCTATTTCATATAAGAGTAAGTAAATTTGAAGAGATTATTAAGTTATGAAAATAAAAGTTGGCAAGTTAGCACAAAAATGTCTAATTTGTGAACTATAAAAGAAAACAATGGGCAATATAATAAAAGAGTCGGTAAATTGCCAACAAATAACCTAAAAAAAGAAACGCCTGTCATTTTCTATTTAATAATTTTGCGACGCTTACCAACAATTAATGCAATTTATCGGCACAATAAATAAAAAAAATCCGTATTTTTGGACGCGGAAATAATATAAATTTTTTTTTTCAATTTAATAGGCGTGTTCTCCAACTTATGGTATTTCCCTCCGCTACTAATTCACAGGAGCTCATAAGCCTCCGCAAATTCGGATCGCTTCTCGACCTGGTCATCTCCCAAATTTAGTTGCTTGGAAGAGGGAAGAGGGAAGAGGATCAAAGAAGGTAACGACATTAACGGAATTCACAACACCATTCACTTCAAAACAGGACAAGATCAACGCCTCCTCCCCCCCCCCACATCTTACGCTCTGAAGTGACTAATGGCCTCACACACACCTCTTTGAACTACTCTCTTCTTCTTCTGCATCACCTGCATTGCCACCTTTTCACAGTTTTCAGCATCCCCACAGCTTCAGGAAATGATCTTTCGCGCGGCAGTTTTCCGGGTCGATTCATGCTGGCGCATCTTCATCTGATTCCGCAAGAAAGTCTCGATCATTCCCCATCAGCAGCAGACTGTTTTGAGCAAAGATTAGTAGCTTTTTATTCCCAGGATGCAAGAACAGAAGATGTGGAAACTAGGCCAAGCGTTTCTTGTGGCGTTCCTGGCTTCCGTCTCGGCGCTCCCTGCGGTGGCCGGCGAAGCTCAAGGAGTAACTTATGATGGGAGGTCTTTGATCATCAATGGAAGCAGAGAGCTTCTCTTCTCGGGTTCCATCCATTACCCGCGTAGTATCCCCGAAGTAAAAAGTTCGCGTGTTTGTTTTTTGTTTACTCGAGGTCGTTTCCTGCTCGGGTTTGGAAACTGACAGATGCCGTTCCGTTTCTCCTACCAGATGTGGGGAGACATCCTACAGAAGGCGAAAAAGGGCGGTCTCAATGTGATTCAGACTTACGTCTTTTGGAACATTCATGAACCGGTGCAGGGTCAGGTAACACTTCAGCATTCGCTGGTTTTCCTTATTTCATGAGCTGTTTTTAGGATTTAAGAGGTTACGCGGTTTGAGCTGATCCTGCAGTACAATTTCAATGGGAACTATAATTTGGTCAAATTCATCAAAATGATCGGCGAGCTAGGAATGTATGCAACGCTAAGGGTCGGTCCGTTCGTAGAAGCTGAATGGAATTTCGGGTATGATCTCATTTCGCTACGCATTTTCCTCTTGAGTCTTTTAGCTATCGTGTATTACAATGGTGTTCTATGCAGAGGCTTCCCGTATTGGTTGAGAGAGGTACCGAACATCACGTTTCGGACCGACAATTCACCATTCAAGGTAAATTATGCTCTTGACAGTTCTTTCAGAGGGAGTGAGCATGCCTAACGAGGTTCAGAGTTTCTTCTGATTTGCAGTACCACATGAAAAAGTTCACCAAAGTAATTATAAAGAAGATGAAGGATGAGAAGTTGTTTGCTTCTCAAGGCGGCCCCATTATCTTATCTCAGGTTGAGCTTTACTTTTAATCGAACCCCACAAGAAAGTCGGAGTGTTGCACTTAAAAGAAATCCAGAAGATCTTATGCTAGAGCAAGAAAATTCAATTTTCGTCATTGACGAGTGCAGATCGAGAACGAGTACACCAACATTCAGCTGGCTTACAAAACTCTAGGAACTCGATACATCCAGTGGGCGGGAACGATGGCTGTGGGGCTCAAAACGGGAGTTCCGTGGGTTATGTGCATGCAGAAGGACGCTCCCGATCCCGTGGTACGATATTTTTGTTCGTTCCTGATGTGTCATCTATTGACGGCGAATGCCTAAGCATTTTGTAACATGCCAAGAAACAAACATAAAGTGCAGATCAACACGTGCAACGGCAGAAACTGTGGGGACACCTTCACTGGCCCGAACAGTCCTGATAAACCTACGTTGTGGACCGAGAACTGGACTGCTCAGTGAGTATTTCCAAAACATCAGATTTTTCTCCTCCGTATATGTTCCACCGCCTTAGCAGATAAAAATCGTTGTAACATAGATGCCACTCTTTAACTACGCATAAGTTCCGTACTGTCTAAGTAAGATCTGTTTACAGTTGCTCAAGATATGCATTAACCGAGGCAATGGCCAAATAACAGATACAGAGTGTTCGGTGACCCCCCATCTCAAAGGTCCGCTGAAGATCTCGCATACTCTGTCGCTCGTTTCTTCTCCAAAAAAGGCACTCTGGCGAACTATTACATGGTATGTTAAGCCCGTGTCCACAGAATTAACATGAACTGTAGTAAGTCAATATGGTTTATGATCCTTTTGGTACAATGGACTTCGTGTATCGTTGTGTCTGGCAGTACTATGGTGGAACAAATTTCGGCAGAACGGCTTCCTCTTTCGTAACAACTCGATATTATGATGAAGCTCCTATGGATGAATATGGTTAGTCTTCCTGATTCTTTGTTCGATTGAATCTCTGTTTGTCCATAAAAAAAGGACATACCATTATGCCATTCCTATTCTCTGGACCTAACGGTTCTGCCTCAGAAAATTTTTTCTTTCCAATGGATAGTCATCGAGAAAATTCACAAAGCTTACCAGCTAAGGCGATTATTTTCTTTAGTATATGACTAGGTTGAATCATTGAATAAGCTTCTACTAAACCAGCGATTTACTATGTGTAGGTCTGTTGAGGGAACCGAAATGGGGTCACTTAAGAGACTTGCATTCGGCTTTGAGATTGTGCAAGAAAGCCCTGCTTTGGGGGACTCCCTCGATCCAAAATTTGGGAGAAGGACTCGAGGTATAGAAATAGGAAACAAAAGCGCGAGCCAAACCTGAAACCAGATATATTCAGTAAATTCAGCTTACTCTCCCACGGAGTTGCGACAAAACTGAGCGAATTTTACATTGCAGGCCCAAGTCTACGAAAAACCAGGAACTAGCATCTGCTCTGCCTTTCTATGCAACAATAATACTCGGCTTCCCAGACTGATGATGTTCAAGGGCATCGAGTATTACCTGCCCCAGCGATCTATTAGCATCCTTCCCGATTGCAAAACCGTGGTCTATAATACGGGAATGGTAACACTGGAGACGTGATCTTGTTTCTTCCGCTCGAGCGAATTTTAGTGAGATCTATGTAAGTTGTAATATGTCTATGCATTATCAGGTTGTCTCGCAGCACAATTCGAGAAACTATCATCAATCAGAGATGGCTAACAAGAATTTACAGTGGGAAATGTGGCGGGACAATATTCCAACGACTGGCGATGCTCCTATTAAGTCAAAGAGTCCTCTAGAATTGATGAGCACGACAAAAGACACGACAGATTATCTGTGGTATGCCACCAGGTAAGCAAATAAGCATTACTCCAAGAAGTAAAAATTGTGAAGCTAAAATGCATCCTAAGTTACCATACTAATTAGTAGAACTTCAATATGTCCTTGCTTGTCGTTTGACAGCATTGAATTGTATCACACCGACTTACCCTTTAGAAAGGACATCATTCCAGTCCTTCAGGTGGCGAATCTCGGCCACTTGATGCATGCCTTTGTCAACGGAGAGTATATAGGTACTGAATTTTATACATAGTCTTGTTGTTTCGACGGGTTTTCGGCAAAAGGGATACTTGTCCAGACATTCTCTGGACATCTGGTACGGTACTCGAGAAGGAGGCTGTGAGAAATACTCAGTAATCTTTCAACTTCTCACGAGTGCATTTCAACTGCTTCATAGGGTCCGGTCATGGAAGCAACATAGAGAAGAGCTTCGTCTTACAGAAACCAATCGAACTAAAGCCTGGACTCAATAACATATCTCTGCTGGGTGCGACAGTTGGTTTTCCGGTAATAATGCAGTCGAATCCTTCTACTATCTTGGAGCTCTTTTCTCCTTTAAATCGCATACATGACGTGACAGATGTGTTGTCCTTCCCAATCTTCATTATGCTTCAGGATAGCGGAGCCTACTTGGAGGACCGGTTTGCCGGAGTCCACCAAGTGACACTCAAAGGCCTCAACACTGGGACCCTCGATTTGTCGCTCAATGGATGGGCACATAAGGTAATCAAATCATTGCTACTTTTTCACACGAAAATCTCTGGACACGAACACGATGCCAAGCTCAGTTCTGATGCTGCAGGTAGGCTTGGACGGTGAAAAACTCCGTGTCTACATACAAGGGGGCTCTCACAGGGTACAGTGGGCGAAAGCTAAAGGACTCGGACAATCTCTGACCTGGTACAAGGTACATCAGAGACAAAATTTCCCATTTTATTGCTAAATGAAGAAGAAGAAGAAGATTCATGTGAAAATGTTCTGATAGATTTTAGCCGATTCCTAGGCTTATTTCGATGCTCCTGAAGGAAATGATCCTGTTGCGATGCAACTTGGAACGATGTCGAAAGGCATGGCTTGGGTCAATGGCAAGAGCATTGGCAGATACTGGTCGTCTTACCTGTCTCCTCTAGGAAAGCCTTCCCAGGATGTGTAAGTATTTCTCTGATTCAATCATAATTTGCAGAAAAAAAGAAAAAACAGAAAATAGATGACTTCTTTTGCAGATACCATGTTCCGAGAGCGTTCCTGAAGCCGACAGATAACCTTCTCGTTCTGTTGGAGGAAATCGGAGGAAATCCTGAAGGTGTTCAGATCTTGACAGCGAACCGAGATGTCATCTGTAGCTTCATCAGTGAGAGCAATCCTGCCACCGTGAAATCGTGGAAAACGAATGGTGGTCTGATTCGAACCGTTGCAGATGACGTGAAGCCGAGGGCTCATTTGCTGTGTGCGGAGGACAAGAAGATCATCGAGGTTGAGTTCGCGAGCTATGGCAATCCGTTTGGCTCTTGTGGAAGTTACAGCGTTGGGAATTGTTCGGCAGCTAAGAGCCAGAAAGTCGTTGAGCAGGTCTCTCTCATTCTCTCTCACATACGCACGCGGGCGCTACGACGTTTATCTTGCACAGTTATGTCACAGTGAATAAAATGCTGCACAAACACGCTCAGCAGAAAACGTCTTTTTTTAGAGCTGACCAGCAGCTTGTGCACTAAGCTCTTGTCCACACATTGTGTGTCCGAGCAGCGCTGCCTGGGAAGAAGCAAGTGTTCCGTGACGGTGGAGCAAAAGAATTTCGACGAGGCAGGCAATCTGTGCCCCGACGTGTCGAAGACGCTGGCTGTTCAGGTGCGCTGCGGCGACGGAAAGAGCTCGCCGAGCAAAGCCGGAGAAGGTAGAGATTCGTAAGAACAGGACAGGACACGGGACCTCCAGGAACGAGTTCATTGTAGTTTATGGACTTTGGGAAAGTTTGGAGCAATACAGTGAACACGGGGCTCACGAAACTGTCCCAGGACCGTGTCTGAATTTCAGCTCCCACTTCCCGCACGTAGAGATATTGGGGGAAGGAAAATTTTGTAGGATCTACTTGGACTAAAGTATGCCTTGAAATGTTCAGATTGTTTGTTTTCTTGGTAGAAAACAGAGCAGCTTCCACCCATTAATGGATCAGACGTCTCAAATCTTACAATGTGATTTGCAACGCGCTAACTATACATAAACTATAAAAAAAAAATGGTGCGTAAAGCTTTCTTTATGCAGTTACTTAACAAGTGTCTGTCAAAGAAAGTTTCTTATTGTTAAATGATGTAACTTTTATGTTTTATCTTAAAAATATAACTTTTTACACAAAATCAACAGTGGGCCGGTTCTGGAATCGACAGTTTTTATACCGATGGGCTTGGTTCTTGGTTCCAAATCAGGAGTCATGGCGTCGGTTATTGTTTCTAGGCGAGGAACCGATCACCTCTAATGTGTATGCTTGCGTGCTGGAGATCATATGAGGTCCACAGTAGATCAAATTGCTGCATATTTATATAGTGATGAAAATAATACATCCTTTCTCAATTAAGAATATGTCATCCCTCTCAACTTCTGATTGAATCTAAAATCAAATTGAGAGAAGCGATCTTTATTGGCTTGCCATAATCGTATTTATTATTTCGTCGGTTCGTGTTAACGGTAAAATATAATATCTTTTAATTAGTGTGAATTATATATCAATAATATCGGAATACCACAAGTACCATAACATTCCTCCGGCGCTCTCTTTACCGTCACAACTTTTTTTTAATCACTTGAGTGCTGCTTTAATGAAAAAATCGATCACTTCAGTACCATTGATGATCTGCGTGGCTGGAAAATCCGACGTGGCATCAATGTATTATACAATGTCCGACGTGGCTCACTAACAAAACAAGGTCGGCAAGTGTGTGTAAAATGATACTGTTTTTCACATATTTGCCCCAAATTAACGAAGCGTGGCAAAAATAACTATGTTCTTTAAACCCTAATTGCCAAATCGAGGAATTGGGGTAGAACTAACTTATGAAATTCGGACATGCGAGCGATGCTCCTTCGAAGAGAAGGAGCCCTGAAGGCGCAAACTTTGTCATGAGAGAGACGATTTTGGAGGCTTCCGGAGATTTCCGAGCTCAAAGTCTTGCGATGAGGAGGGCTTATGTCGACAGGTTGAGTTGATGAAAAGCATTTTCAAAAAAAATATTTTCCTAGTCAACAGAATACTTTTACTTAAATTTAGGACAACGATTACTTTATTAAAAAATCAGAAAATTTTTATAAAGAATATGACTAGATACTGGTTTTTGGACACGAGAATCCCAAAGTTGGTTTCTAGGTCCTGGCGTTCAAGACCAGGGTCTCCGGAGGCTCGGTTTGGGCCCCCTATGCCCTCGCTTGTGTCCATCAAGGCCGGGCCCAAGCCTTGGTGCCCTTGCCCAATGCCTAACACCCAAGCCTGGGTCCATAAAGGAAGTGCTGAGGTCCCCAACGCTCGAGCTTTGATCCCAGCACTTGGGTTCGGATCCTTTCTGTGCATAGATCCTTGCCGCTCGGACTGGGGTTATTGGTTGATGAAGCGTTTGTTCTTACAAAACCCGTGCGCGGATCCTAAACATCAAGGACTCGGGAACGCGTTTCCAAGCAGAGAGTTTCAAGTTAAAGCGCCGTTACCTAATCATATTTTTGGAAATTTTTTTCTAATTTTTCAAAAAAAATCATTTTCTTGAATTTAAATATAAGTTTTCCGTTGACTTTTCTTCCTGGAAAAATGAGCAAAATACGAAAATATATTTTTCGTAAAAAAACGGAGCCACGGTAATATATTTTTTTCCCGAACGATGTCAGATTGCATCATATTTTCAGATTTTTTGTGATATTTTTTTTTTAGTTCGAGTCCATGTGTTCAACGGTACTCTCGCGGCACACCCGAACATAACCCTCCCGCATCGGCTTGTCACGTACGCCTCTCGAAAACCCGCGCCTCTCTCCTCCTCTCTCTCCAATCCCGCCATTTTCATTCCTCTGCAGTCGCCGTTCGCTTCTCGCTCGCTGCACGGGACGGCATCGATCCCAGCCGCTTTCCATCCTCCTCTGCGCCTCCTCCTCCTCCTTCCCTCTTCCCCCCCTCGTTCCGCCGTGCGATTCGATTTGGGGATTTTTCGCTTCTCCGGCGAAGCGGCCCGACGGGAGCGGGCGCTTCGCCGCCCCTCGCCGAGCGCCGGCGATGCGGTGAGCCGGGGCGTTCGGCGATCGCCGGATCTCGGCGTTCGGTGATGGGCAAGAGAGACGCGGTTGTTGTCCTGTCGTCGGACGACGGGGGCGATGAAGGTGAAGGTGTGTTGAGCTCGAGTCGGAGCTGCTCGAGGCCGACGGTGAAGTCGCTCGTTACTCCGTCGGAGCCGAGAAGAGCGAAGAAGAAGCCTCGGGTTTCGGGCTCTCGATCCCGATCGTCGTGTAGACGGTCATCTGTCGTGGACGAGGTATGGTTGCGCCGACGTCATTCTGTTTCTTCGTGATCGTCCGTTTCTTCCGGCTAGGAGAAGGGCTCTACCTCCTTTGTTTTTTGTTGTTATTGCATTGGAAGTTAGTGCGAGTGCTTCGTCTTAGCGTGCGTCTGTCTCTTGGTTTCTGGTTCTGGAGATTTGTGGTCGCTGGTCAGTGGTGGTGGATAGTGAGACTTAAGCTGCTTGAGGAATTGCCTGGTTTTAGCACCGCTTCTTCAACGCACTTGCTTTGCCGACAAAATGGAGTGATAATGTCGCGTTTAGTCTGAATAAGGAATGGCCGCAATAGAAGTAGTTCATGAGGTGAAATAAAAGAAAAAAATTGAAATTGATCCTGCTACTGGACTTTCTGAAATTTTGGGTTTAACCTATTGCAGTTTCAGTTTTTAAAGGAAGACTTCAATGAAGTATTCACTGGTGCCAAGGTAACAACGGGTATGCCCTTGTTTTTATTTTTATTTTTTTGTAATATTTATCGTTCCCTAGTTTTAGTATGCACCGTGTTGTTGCTTAGGAAGCATTAATTGCTGCTTGCATATTTTATTTGGGTGACATCTAGTAATTGTGGAAGGCTCTCAGTGTTCACCAACTGAAATGGATTGTTAACTGCCCTGTGAAATGTGACATAAAGAGACGCAATTTTGCATGCCAGTTGTTACATCCTTAGCTGGTCTTTTGAACAAGACTTGATACAGGGTGAGCCTTGAGGGGCGAAAGTGCAATCTTAGAAGGAAGTTTTTTAAAACACTGAGAAAGGATTATGACCTAGCAAATAGAGATGATTTAGTACTGTCATCGAGGGGTATTCACTAAACAAAAGCTTTACAGTCTTTGATTGTGCTTTATGTTATCATTCAGGTGTTTAAATGATATTGGTACCTTTTATTCTTTTAGTTCGAGCTTCAGACTATATTTTGTTTCACAAATCTCTTTTGTTTGTTGTGGTGCGTTTTCTATTGTTTCCTTTATCCGGTAGCCCTTAGTTGTTTCGAAATGGTATGTGGAGCAGGTTTTGGTAGGACCATTGCCAAGGAGTCATGGGTTGATAAGTATAAACCATGTACTTTAGAAGAGCTTGCAGTACACAAGAAAAAGGTTGATCCAGCTTTCTCAATTTTTGTGTATGAGACTGAAGGTCATGATATTGATTATTCTTTGATTGTAGGTTGAAGAAGTCAAATCATGGTTTGAGGAAAGATTGATTACTTCAAAGGTACTTCTGTTATTCATGAGAGCTACCAATATGAAATGTCCACCCTCTAAAAGGACTCACTTAGTTGTAAACTTGTTCAGGACAAACCTTCTTAGCAATACTTTTGACAAAGGTTTATGAACTGTTGTGATCTGGTGCTATCTTTGCATGTGGGTGTGTTTGAGATTGATGGGTGATTCTGCGGCTGTTGAACTAAGTGATGGATGGTCATAAGAGTGTGTATAATACAATGTAAGCTGTTTCGAATTTTCACCTTTTGCTTATTCTAAGCAAATGTTTGACTCTCAATGCGGGTACAAATTTCATGTGCACATAAACTGAAGCTTCCTTAAATGATGATGACGACGGTGGTGGTGATTGTAATAATTGTTATGTTCCATGTGGCTCTGGTGTCTTCCATGAAATGTTACATAACGGTAGCCATTCCAAAGACAGATCTAGATCTCCTAGAAATAGGGATGTTTTAGCAACAAAGTTTTGTTCCCTTTTGCAAAATAGAATAATCACTACAAGGACAACCCGTGGAAAATTATTTCTCCTTTCCCTTCCTTGTGGAAATTAATGCTCTGCATTCTTAATTTGCAGGATAACCTTGGTGATCATGTTCTTATTATTACTGGGCCAGCTGGTGTAGGAAAATCTGTATGTCTTCCTTTCTCTTATTTTAAATGAGTATCTTAATGAAGATGTGACCTTTAGTCATATCTCCAGTTCAAGCATACTTATTGAAATTATATCGGGTGAATATATTGATGCATTTTCAGTTCAGCATTCTTGTGTCTGAAGTGGTATAGTTACGAAGTTGGACTTGGAGACACTAGTTTCAGACCACAAACATTGTTGGATTTGACTGGTTTCTTTGTGGTTTATTTCTAATCCAATGTGAAGTTGGTCCAAGCCTTGGAAATATTTTGCTGGCCGTAACTGGATGTGCCCATGAAAATTACTCTCTCTATAATCTCTCAGGCAGATTATGCAGAAACCGCTTCTACTATTTTATCATGCCTAGCTTTAAGGTCTGTTTGGATAGACTTTTAGGGCGCACATGGAATCCATTCTGGAGTAGAAATTCTGCTCTAGAATGCATTCCGGAACATAAATGCGTTTGTTAAAAAATTTCCGGAATGCATTCTGGAGCAATTTTTGCATTCTGGAATAAAAATGCGTTTGTTAAAAATACTTGATTCCAGAATGCATTCTTGATTCCAGAATGCATTTTTAATTCCAGAATGAGTTTTGGGCAAGAAAAAAAGAAGCTACTTTTTGTAGCTTCTCTCTTCCAGAATGCATTCTCCCTATTTTCTCTCTTTTTCTCACTAAATTTTTTTTTTCAGAAAATGCATAAAAATTGAAAAATTCCAGAAAAATTCATAAAAATTTCCAGAAAATAAAAAAAAGTTAGATTTCGAGAAAATAGAAAATTTGGTGAATTTTTTTCAAAAAATATAAAAAAATCAAAAATTTCAAAACTTCACGGAATGGCTTAGAATACCTTTGGGCACCCACTTTGAGTGAAATTTAATTTTTTTGATATGCCCAAAAAAAAATCAAAAATCAAAAATTTCAAAACTTCACAAAATAGCTTAGAATACCTTTGGGCACCCACTTTGAGTGAAATTTAATTTTTTTGAGGTGCCCAAAAAAATCAAAAAATAATAAAAAAATAAAAAATAGATTTCTGTTCTAGAAATCAATTTTTGGAGCAGAATTAGTCATGTTTTATTAAACAGATTTCTCCTCCAAAAATCAATTTCTGGCAAGAATTCCGGAAATCAATTTCTGGCAAGAATTTGATTTCTGGAGCAGAATGGTTACCATTCGCGCCCTTACTTTTTCTTAATCTAGATCTGGCAGCGGATGCACTTTGACTTTTTTTTATAGCACTAAGCCCTTGAGGCTTCCATGATTTACAAATATCGACACATAGATGCACGTGTATTTTTTTCACAATCTTTTAAAACTTGGAATTTTTTTTTAAATTTGGCGAGAAAGCCAAAATATACTCTCCACTTGAACTTAATTCTAAACGAACAAGCCCTTATTATCTCCCTATGATTGGATCTCTACCTGGTAGTGTGGACAAAAGGTGTAGAAAATTACAATTGCTAGTTTTCTATATGATTGACATGGACTTGTCACTAACTTTTTCTAAATCCAGGTTTGTTGTTCATAGTGCAGCATATTAATTTTTGAGTTTTTAAACTGGTCTGCTGCTGTCTGCTGAATAAATACACGTTCTTGGAATTTCCTATAGTCCCCTGAATCCGAGGAAAAGTGTATTTTGGGGCATGCAACCAATCATTTGGCATAGTGGATAATGATGCTTTTTGTCTGCCCCTGCCTGCATTTTATTTCTCGTTTGATTCTCCTAACCTTCTGGTATCTGATAAAGGAAAATATACTCTTTTATTTGTCACCTGAGTGGACTATTGTCTCATGACTTCTGCACTTAGTGTTGGCACCTATAAGTTCAAGCATTGCAATGTTGAAATTAGAGATCTGTTGTGCAGGCTACTATTTATGTTGTTGCGTCTCACCTCGGAGCCACATTGTGTGAGTGGAACACACCTACTCCAACAGTCTGGAAGGAATATGTCCATAACAGTAACAAAGGTATATCAACATTAGTTGGTTTACTGAATCTCTTATGGTTAGGTTCTGTCTGTGAACACATGTCACTCCCTCTTTTTTGCCTGGACTCTCTCCTGCTCAGAAACATATCTGAACAGGCTGCAATTTTGCTCCTGCATGAGGGTAAAAGTATGTGGACACTGCTGTCAAACTGACAATTAAGATTTGTAAAATTGCCTTCTTTATTGATGAGTTATTTTGATCTACTGTCAGGGCAGTATACATCTAAGTTAGATGAGTTTGAGGCTTTTGTTGAGAGAACAAGAAAGTATGGAGTGATTTCTCAATCATCTGCCGGAGAGTCAAAATCATCAGCAATACTCCTCATTGATGATCTACCGGTGACGCATGGGAATGTTGCACGTAGAAGACTGCAGAACTGTCTACATCTTCTTGTGCAATCTACTCATATACCAACAGCTATTCTAATAACTGATTATGGTCAAGTGGATTCAGCTGACAGGGAGGCACGATTCTTAGAGGAACTCCAATTGTCCCTTGAAAGTGCTGGAGCTCGTAAAGTCAGCTTCTTGAACTAGTTCTACAATTATCCTTGAATAATATACTTTTTTTGCTCATGCGTGCCTGACGTGCAGCCTATCTCCTTGAAATTCTCAGATTGCATTTAATCCTATCACCAGTAATGCCATTAAGAGGATACTTTCCAAAATATGCAGCCAGGAGCAGTGCAATGTGACTTCTGAACAGATTGATTTAATAGCGAGGGCAAGTGGAGGTGACGTCCGACATGCAATCACATCCTTACAATTTTTCTGTCTTAAGGCGGACTGGCCATCCTTATCTTTGTCAAGTCCAACGACGGTACATGATCTTCATTTTGGCAGAGATGAGACAATCTCTCTCTTCCATGCCTTGGGAAAGTTTCTGCATAACAAAAGAGAGAGTGCTTCTCCATCGTGTACGTTTTGATTAAGGCTTAAGAATTATTGTGATTTTTTTTGGATATATCTAGCTTTAGCCCCATGATGGCACTGTCTTCTCCAGTCACTGCACTCACAATCTTCTTATCATGATATATTGAGGGGAGACATGTTTGCGTGTGCTTGTGCTGTCTGCATGTGACTTAGTAGATTGTAGGTAAGTTGAATGTTACTGCATGGCATGTTTCTGTGTGATTACCTGAGTGCCAGCTTTTTTTCGTTTTGCAGGGAAAGATGCACATCCCATACAAGAGAAATTTATGAGATTACCCTTAAAGATGGATGCTCCAGAGAAGGTCCTTTCTCAGGCACATGGGCAAGCAAGACCAATTGCTGATTTTCTGCATGAAAATGGTACTCCCTTTCCAACATAGCTGTACTCTCTTGAAAAGCAAAGACGCAAGGTTGCTAGCAACCACCATACTACCGCTGATGGACTCTTTCTATAACTCCTATTGCAGTTTTAGACTTTCTTAATGAGGAGGCTGTGGATGATGCCTCAGCTGTACTTTCTTATTTGGGTGATGCTGATGTGCTCTTGCACAGTTTTCGTGGAGCAGTAGCTAGAAATTATGAGGCAGAGGGTGTTGTACAGTCAGCTGCTGCTTCAATTGCTGTTCGAGGGGTGCTTTTTGGAAACTCTCATCCATTGCCCCCCAGGTATCCCTTTATACATACTAAGCATGCTATTTATGTTTGGCTTTTTTTTTCTTTCTGTTTTCTATTTGAGTAATTTCAAATGTTTACACAAGCTACCTGCCGATTCATTATGAGGTGCAGGTGGCATGCCATTCGTAAGCCAAAACTCTGGCAGAGTGAGAAATTGTCTTTGCACAATAAGGTATGATTGGCGTTAGTCCTTTGCATCTTCTGTTTGTTTTATCATGGAACTCTCTAGTCATTACAATAGTTGTTAATCTACTTTTTTTTTTGAGGATATCTGAAATTGAAAATCTCAAAGTCAGTAGAAGCATGACCTTCAAGCAAACGTGTGTCCTTCAAGTGAATGCTCATTCACTAAGCTCATTATCTTCACAGATTATAACTCCTTTGGCACGCTAATTTGGCATGCTCGCGGCTTGTCTTGCGCCCCTTCTAAAGCTTATTGAACTGTAGCATTCAGTTTATGTATCATCAAGAAAACAATCCCAAGTTTGCTGGGTCTACTCATGCTGCCTGCATCCATCTGCAACAGCAGAATTTTTCCTCTAGTTGTTAGACTTTGCAAACATGATCTTCTGCTTTTGTCGTTCGAACTTCCTTGAGTAAGTTGCAAGTAATTCCCCACTTTTCGCATGGTTTAATAACTGAATTTCCTATTGCTGTTTTATAAACAAACCCTGGACCTTGAAAGCAGGCAATGCTTTATTTGTTGTTTTCTAAATCAGCCATAACTACTATACTCATAAGGATCGGAGACACTTATCTCGCTCTACAATATCCACTGATACCCCTCCTTCCCTGGTTGGCATAGAAAGCATGTTGGATGAATTTTATCCATTATTTTTCTGGCCATGCAAAATTTATGCTTGGAAATCTTGTCACGGTTTGGCTGCAGGATGAGATGTTAAGACAGAGATTCATGGTTTATAACGGAGTTAGCTCAAGTGATACGTCAGTAATAGCTACTGAGTACGTGCCTGTGTGTAAATGGCTTCAGCATAGGGTTCCTAGGGGACTCCAAGCTCATGAAGTGACGATGCTGAGCACTGAGATTGAAGATGGGATGAGTTTAGATGACCGAGAGGTGGAGACATCTGATGATGAGATTGAGGAGTGGTGAGTTGGAGCCTGGTTAGGTCGCTATAATATGCAAGAGCTCCGTGGTTTGCTTCGCCAATATGTACAGTGTCCTCATTATGGGTCTGTATGTGTGTTAGTGCTTGCATTAGACATCCAACTCGTAATCACAACAACCCGATTGGAAGTGGAGCTTTACCAACTGAGCTATATTTGCCTTGGCAAGTGGAGCAATTTACAGAGTTCCTTGTATAGCATTAGGTTGAGTTAAAATTTTGGAGTTTTTCTGTGTATTTCGTCCTTTACTTCTTGATGGAAAATTAAATTGTATGTGGAGCAAAACGAAAAGGGAAAATCAAATCGTAGGGTCTTTTTCGATCTTGACCAGTTATGAGTGAATGAACTAAAAATCCTTTCTTGAGCCATCTGTTAAACGTAATACAGCTGCATGATGCTGGCGAAATCTGCTCACTGCAGTTACCTTAGCAAGATGTGAAATGCGCATCATTCTGTTTGCAACTGATAAATAGATTTACTATCTCCTATTCCCCGTTCGGTACAGAAGGTGCTGGGGCGTTGCCCATGTTTCTGTTCAAGCTAATTGTGTCGATACTTCATGTGGAAAATCAACGCGTGGGAAGGACAGGATTAGCTGTGAATGAATGGATCTTGGAGCTGTCTCATTCACCGTGTCTCGAGCCGAGACGAATGATTGCCAATTCACCATCGATCGGTGAAAGAAGCGACGATAAGAAACGTCCCCCTGGCCCCTCCCCTCTCTCTACATGCTTTCGTGTGCATGCATTGGCAATGCCTTGCAAAAATTCACTCTGCAGCCTTCTGCGACAAAGCCTGCAATCAGCATATGTTGTCTGCCACTCCTTTTTGAGCTTCATACCGCTATAGTCGTAGGCAGGCACGTACTAAGCATCAATCCATAAAAAAACAAAAAGAACAATTCATCGTGCGAATTCACCTTCCACCGAGAAAATTGCATACCTTGCATAACTGGAAAAGAAGTAAAAGTGAGCTGGGCAACACCCAAGTGAGTTAATGAATATTATATAAGTTACTAGCTTGAAGCATCAACGAGGCCTATTAGCTCAGTTGGTTAGAGCGTCGTGCTAATAACGCGAAGGTCGCAGGTTCGAGACCTGCATGGGCCAAAACCTTTTCTTTTTGAATCTTCCACTGTCCCTTCCCTTTTTAATGTGTTTTACAGTTTTACCTCCACGCGACTCTCTTCTTTTGGTCCACATTACATATTCCCCTCCCTCTTTCATGGGCCTTTATTATTTATCTAATGAATATCATAGTGAAGTGTGCATGAAAATATGTAACTGCGTGGCACGACACCTATGCGCATGAATCATGAGGGGGCAAAATCTACCAATAATGTGTCGCCATGAGCATTTTAGAAGACACACCACAATTCTCAGGTTCTAGAGATATTACGTGTTCATTGCTTTCGCAACTGATTTCAATTATAATTTAATTCAACAATGGTTTTTCTTCTGGAGAATATTAGCTTTTCCTGTTGCAGAACTCCCGGTGAACTTGGGGGCATCCTCGTTGCAAAGCGTTCCTAAAAGAAGCCAAAATCGACGAGGCTTACGGTGCGAATGGTAACCATTCTGTTCTTGATTTATGGAATTCTTGCCAGAAATTGATTTCTGGAGGAGAAATCTGTTTGGTAAAACATGACTAATTCTGAAATTGATTTCTAGAACAGAAATCTGTTTTGATTTGTTGATTTTTTTTGCACTTAAAAAAATTTAAATTTTACTCAAAGTGGGTGCCCACATGTATTATAAGCCATTCTGTAAAGTTTTGAAATTTTTGATTTTTTTTAATTTTTTTGGGCACCTAAAAAAATTTAAATTTCACTCAAAGTGGGTGGCCACACAGGTATTCTAAGCCATTTTGTGAAGTTTTGAATTTTTTTATTTTTTTGGGCATCTCAAAAAATTTAAATTTTACTCAAAGTGGGCGGCTACAGATATTCTAAGCCATTCTGTGAAGTTTTGAAATTTTTTATTTTTTTTTTATTTTTTTGGGCACCTCAAAAAATTTAAATTTCACTCAAAGTAGGTGGTCACAGGTATTTTAAGCCATTTTGTGAAGTTTTGAAAATTTTTATTTTTTTTGGGCACCTCAAAAGATTTAAATTTCACTCAAAGTAAGTGGCCACAGGTATTTTAAGCCATTTTGTGAAGTTTTGAAATTTTTGATTTTTTTTGAGCACCTCAAAAAATTTAAATTTCACTCAAAACAGGTGGTCACGTGTGTTTTAAGCTATTTTGTGAAGTTTTGAAATTTTTGATTTTTTTTTTGATTTTTTTAAAAAAAATTCAACAAATTTCATATTTTCCCGAAATATGACTTTTTTTTATTTTCTGAAAATTTTTATGAATTTTTCTAGAAATTTTCAATTTTTATGCATTTTCTGAAAAAAAAATTTGTGAGAAAATAGGGAGAATGCATTCCGGAATCAAGAAGCTACAAAAAGCAACTCTCTTTTTCTTGCCAAAAACTCATTCCGAAATCAAAAATGCATTCTGGAATCAAGAATGCATTCTGGAATCATGTATTTTTAACAAACGCATTTTTATTCCAGAATGCAAAAATCGCTCCAGAATGCATTCCGGAAATTTTTTAACAAACGCCATTCTGTTCCGGAATGCATTCCGGAACAGAATTTTTATTCCGGAACGCATTCCATGCGCACCCTTATAGCCCAATCAAACCTTCACCCGGAAGGTAACGCTGTTTCTCCAATAGAATTTCATGGCATCATGCGGATAACAACTAACATTTTCAGGGATCAGTGAAAACCGGCTTCCCCCCCACACATGAACACAAGTCCTTAACACAATTATAAATCAGAAGCAGGGCATGTTCGGGACATTGAAAGCTACGAAAGCATATCCTCAGTTTGCATCTAGCGACAGAAGATGAGTAAAAGAGAGGAAAAAAAGGCTATTGGAATGTCCTGGGCCGGGAAGAAATGGCAGGCAATCAAGTTTCCTTAGGAGGGGCCTTCTTTGCAGCCTCCGCATCTGCTTTCTCAGCCTCGATTTCAGCAACAATGGCATCAATTTCAGCTTCTTCGAGCTGTCTCAGACCATGCTCTCTTGTCATCACAGCAATCTCTATGTTCTTCCCCCCACTCTCAACAACCTGAAAAATAATTTGGGACTTCTGCTGAGTAACTATTTGATCATGCAACTGTAGAAAACGTAAAGCACAATGTTGGAGGGGGGGGCAAACCCAATAACAGCTTAAAACAATGCCCACAGAGCCAAGAATCATTAGAATTTTCTTGGCCAATTACAAGTCAGGGCCATGCGCTCATATATTGACTTGGATAACTCTAAGAAGCATTGTGAGAAAAAACAAACATTATATAAGGCATTATCATCCAAAACTTGATCAGCCACAGTGCTGAACAGTCAGCTGGATTGCTAAGGATAACATCTTCAAAACTATTGCCAGGATACAAACTAGCTGAAAAGCAGAAGGCAAATGGAAAAACTGCTACAGAAGTACAAGCTGAGCAAGCACTCTCCAAGGATAGGTGCCTGAGGCTGTGAGAGAGATAAAGGGTGACATAGATGAGGGGAAAGTCTGTTCAGATGTATGTGAGTTGGAAAACAGGTGGGTTCAAGTTAGGGGACGTAAAACTAATACCCAAGAGCCAAAAAGCTGAAAAGAGAAAAAGCAACTGTCACCAGCCAAATACTAATATATTATATAAACTGCTCTAGAGTTCAACCAAGTGTACAAATGAATCTGCAAGACAGTCTATAGGTAAACACATCTCTGAAATAAGGGCAAAGAAACTTACCTCAAGTAATGCACGAATAGCAAGTTTCACAGTTTCCTGCCCTGAAGTTTCTTTGTAGTTTTTCTCCAGGAATTCCCTTATGGAATTCGAATTTCTGCCAGTGGCATTAGCTTTCCACGCTGAAAATGTTCCAGATGGATCTGTCTGATACAGTGATGGTGCACCAGTGTAGGGATCAAAACCGATAATCAAAGTTGAAAGACCAAATGGTCTCACACCTCCGCTTTGTGTATACTTTTGCTGAAGACCAGCAATGTAACGCGTAATATACTCGACAGTCACTGGATCTTCAACTGTAAGCCTGTGACTCTGGCATTCAATTCTTGCCCTGTTTATTAAAACACGAGCATCTGCTTTAAGGCCAGCACAGGCCAATGCAATGTGCTGATCCAAGTTAACAATTTTCCTCACCGATCTGCATACAGAGGAAGCACACAAGTCAAAGAGTATAGTTCGACCAAAACAAGAAAGAGCAAGAGCAATATGAAAGTGTTGATAACAATTTTCAGTTGTAAAGAAGATTTATATGCTTATGTGTCACCAAGATTCAAGATTCATAATACTGCTTATATTTCGGTGGAAACATCCATTTACTGACATAAAATTGTTCGTCTTAATACAATTTTCACCACTTGTGGGCAAAAGGCTCCAGTCGCCTTATCTAAACGTGCACCCCCAGTCCATATGGTTACATACTATCATTAGGTCAATGAGATACCAACAAGTCAAAGTGAACAACATAAATCAACCCAGCATAAGCTTCCTTAGTAAATCGAATCATACTAGTGTGTCAACATTTGAAAGGGTTTGCCAATGATGATGATGTGTCACCTAACTAACAACCATACCTATAGGCTTGATCAATAAACATCCTCTGATATTCAAGCAACAATTACTAAGGTCTTGACATAGCTTTCGCTTGGATAGGTGCCTGAATATCCAAGCGAAGAAGCATGTGAATCCTCTCAATTTCAACAGGACATTTTAACCTTAAGGTCTTGACATGTGTTCAAACAAAAAAAATCAGTTACAAAGTTGCAGGCAACTAAAAGAGAGTGCCAACCATTGGATCGTCTTTCAGGTAATGATCTTAAAAGATACATGAAATCATTGCTAAACTCACTATACCCCGTAAACAAAGTAATCCTACAACCTATACAATAGGTTTAGTAAAATAGCCCATGCATAAGAAAATATAACCGCAACTTTGAGCTTCCGTAGTTTAGTTTGACTTCAGGCTTCACTTCAGCCCCAAGATATCTTAGACACAACAGAGAGTTCCACCAGTCCAAGTAAAGCTCCAACTCCAAAATCTCGACAGCAAAATTGAAAACTTTCTTGTTGAAACCTGAATATACCATTTTCTTCTTTACTCCCTTACTCTTCTGCTAAACCTTCCCACTCTGAAACCAAAGAGAAGCGACTCTTTCTCTCTCAGAGATAATATCTTATGCTATCCGACCGAACCCACCTCGTACCGTGCTCAAATGCACGACAATCACCTCGTAACCGAAGAATCCACAGGGCCTAATTTCCAAATGATCCGATCCCAGCTAAAAAATGAACCCGACAATTCCCGCATCCCCAGACCTAAAAGCCCCCAATCGACTCACCAACTTAACCAATCCTCGGTTCACATCGACCCACATTTGGGGATCGATACAGAACAAACGAACCCTAGCTAACAGCACTCTCCAAAAAACCAGATCAATCCGCAATCAAAATAGCCAATCGCACGCCGCAGGCACGCGTGACCGCACGGCGAAGGAGGGAGGGAGGGAGTACCTCGAATCCTGGAGCTTGGCGGTGGACTTCTTCTCGACGCCAAGGACGATGGTGTCGGTGCCGCGGACCCCGACGGCGGCGTTGCCCTTGCGGACGGCCTCCAGCGCGTACTCCACCTGGAAGAGGTGGCCGTCCGGCGAGAACACGGTGATGGCCCTGTCGTATCTCGCCATAGCCTTCGCTTCTTCGCTTCCGAGCGTTCGCTAGCTTCGATCTCTCTCTCTCTCTCTCGACGGTGATGTCCGCGACTTGCTTCTGCGTCGGACTCTCTCCTTCTTGTACAGAGCGAGCGAGACTAGGCTTAGGCATCAAGAAATATGCAACAGGCCTCTTTTCCGTTTGGTTACATTTTCGGTCCCCGGAGTTTTGAAAAGCTTCACTTTTTGGTCCCTAAGGTTTTGGAAATTCCACATTTAGTCCTCGTTCTTTATTTGGATTACAGTTCTAACCCTCGTAATGATTTTTTCCCTCAAGATTTTCGGTTCGTAATTCGATCGAAATTGTCGGGTCGGCATCGGCTATCGACACGTGGCGTCCTCCACAAGCACACGCTTCTGAAATAATCGCGCTTTTGATCCCTGTACTTTTGAGAACAATCAATTTTATTCGCTATGATTTATTTTAGTAACTGGTCAATATATTACTTTTTAACGAACGATTTAATTACTCTTATCGTAGTTCCATCAAAATTTCTTTTGGAAGTCAAATCAAGACCAGCTATTAATTGGCGATTCCTACGTTAACAAAAGTGGCCAATTTGGTCAAAGTCCTATTAAGATCAGTTCCACTGTATTCAATTCAGATCCATATAGACGTATTTGAAACTATTTTAAGAAAAGCGTAAATAACTTTTAAATATTCTAGCCACAGCTTTAACTCAATATCTAATAGGTGAAATAATTTACCGAGTTTATCGGAATTAATGATTCAATCTCAATTCTCGAATATTAACGGTTTCAAAAGAAGTTTCTTTCAATCATTACTAACAAAACAATCAACGTTAAATTATATAAGACACGTAACATGCAAATCGCGTCGTTTAAGTCTTATTTGGAATGGAAATATGAAAAATCTCACTTAAAATCTTGTTAATCAATGGTACGAGGACTGGTTATTGTTGCAAAAACAAAGTATAGTGACTAAATTTGAACACTTAAAAAAAATACAACGATCAACATTGTAATTCATTTCATAGGATTATACACGTGTCGGTTTTCGGCGCTGACTCAACAATGTTTTTTTAAATATTTTGAGCGGAAAATTCGACAAGTTGTTGCCGGAAAATAGTAGGAGGACTATAATTCTAAACAAACAAAGTATGGAAACCAAAAGTGAAATTCCCTCGAGCTACAAGGACCAAAATTGCAATTTCCCTTATTTTCGCCGGTAAGTATAAATTCCTATTTCTCTTCTTATAACTGTAACACAACTTATGATGTTCCAGTTCCTGTGCTGTATCGTGTATGTGTTGCATCGTTGTGGCACTCGTGTGTATGATTCGTAAAGCAGTTAAATTTTCAATGTATCGCAGCTGTCCATGTGCTTCTGGAAGTGTTTGGCGATTCCCTTCACGCATTTGATGTAGTTTGGTAAGCTGCATCAAATGTCTATCGTTTCTGCAAGATCTCGAAAGTTTTTATGGATGTCCTCGTGAATGCTGAATGTCAAAACTCGATCGACAGCTCCTTAGAGCGAAGCCCGCGATGAAGATTCAGTCTTTTAATTGCTTCGCCGATAGCTACTCGACTTCTACTTCAGGAAAGTTTGCAGGACAGTTTGGCAGTCTTGTGGATCGTGATGCTGTGTTTCTAGTGCTTTGCTCTGTAGCTGTGATATTTTTAAGTTTGACAGAATCAGATGATCACTGTTCCCGGAGATTTATGTCCCAAAGATGCTCAGGAATAAGCTAGAGAAACTCAGATATCTTTACAGACTGTAGATGGGGTCACTGGTATACTTGCCCAGTTTGTTAATCATGCTGATTTTTTCACATTACACAAGCAAAAACCGTGTAAGCTCTAACATCTGGTTTTCTTTTCGGGTTCTCTCTGAGTTGTTTTATCAAGCTCTTTTAGTTCACTCCCTTGGTGAGTGACAGAATTGTGGACACCATAAGCTTATAGTCGATCGGCTTCGTCAAGTAAGCATCCATTCCCACCTCCAAGCACTTGGCTTCATCCGATGACATGGCGTGCGCGGTCAGCGCGACGATCGGAATGTGCAGGCCACTTCCGGCCTCGGATCTTCTGATTGCTTTCGTCGCTTCGTACCCGTCCATCTTTGGCATCTGTTTTTTTTGCAGGAAACAGAGCTAGGATCAAGAGACGGTCAACAAGCAGTGCATGGCAAGAAAGAGAGAATGTACAAGCAAAGGAGATGAGACAGTTTCAAGAGTATTGTCTCGGGACGACACAATAAACAAACAAAAGTACCCTTCTCTAGGAATAATCTCTGGAGACCTAGTTTGCTATCGTTTTGGAGACAGATCATTAATCATTTTTGTGATGCTTGAGTTGGATCCTTCAGTGAAAGCTTGCAAGTTTTGAGATAACATACTAAGCAGTATGGTTCATGACCAAAAGAAAAGAGTCAGAGAGCATTCATCTCTTACTTGACAGTCCATGAGGATCAGGTCGTAAGGTTGCCAACTCCGTGTTCCTGCTTGAGCTATTCTGTTTTCGTCTTGCAAATGTGACGCCGTCCTGAAGTCTTCTTTGTCTATCTCTATTCTGCAGTTCAGGGCATTCACCGCCTGCAAGCCATCTCCGACAGCAATCACTTTTGCACCCAACTTTTCCAGCATGATTGTAGCGACTCTCTGGAGCACTGGCGTGTCTTCGGCAAGTAGTATGCGCAGGCCTTCCAGGGACCTTTTCTGGTCTGATTCTTTAACGGAACACGAATCACCTTCAGCTTGAGGACGCTTGGTGATCAGCAGTTGTTCCTGTACTTCGGAATTTCCGTGTTCCTTTTCTTTTGAAGAAAACATGCTCCTCGTGCACTTGAATCTGCCTTCGGCATTGTTTGGTCGGTCCAAAGGGGGACCAGTTTGACATGCTTCTTCTTCATTCCCCAAATTGTTATAGCTGGAAGACAGCCGAGTAGGATCGAATGAGTGACAGTTTGATGTCCTGTGTTGTAGAGGAGGAGGGGTTTCAGTCCCTTCCTGTTGCTTTTGTTCACTAGGGAATGTAGTGGTACAACTAGAACGTGATGTTTCAACTGTGTCCAATTCATCAGAGCTCGCCCCCTCATAGTGCTCAGAGTCGATTTCTAGACACTCGTGCAAGTCCCCTTCTCTATTAACGCTTTTCGAAGAATTGGAGCTCCTCTTCAGGAGTTCAGAGTTCCTCTCCTTTATGGCAGCATCCAGAATTTGAACCATCTTGGCCTTGTATAGTGGCTTGTTGACCATCAGAATGTGTCCTTTCCTTCGGAGCTCCACTTTAATGGCGTTGGCGGTGTCATGGTTTAGCATCCATGCGAACTTCACCTTCCCGTAGTACTTATCTAGGAAATTGAGCTGTTCCTTCCATATATCTGTGTTCAGGTCAAGTAGCCCTATGTCCACGACTATGATGAGGACTTCACTGCGAATATCTTCGAGGTTTGTCACTTCTGATCTCGGCAGTTCATGTGCGTGTTCCATATCGATGGTCCTATATGGGCCGCCTGAATTTCTGCCTTGGAAAAATTCCTGAAGAATCTGAGTCAATTCATTCCATCCCGATGCTTCCAGAGTGAAAACTCCGTTTCTGCGCAACCACCTGGACATGATCAATCTACCTGTGCATCCATGTAGTGCAAGTAGCACCTGCATCCAAATTATGGACCAATGCCATTTATGAAAATTGTCTGCTGTGGATTTGTTTTCTTGCCTTCGATCTAAGTCAAAATCAAACCTTAAAATAGAAAGACTGAAGTAGTGATACTATTGGTCATTGACGTCTTAATTATTAGTTTGAAGCACCTGAGCCTTAGTATTAGTTATATTGTACGTGGAAGAACTGAAAAATCAAGCGCTATTGCTCTAGTACAGAATCTTGGAAAGAACAGTACGTACTGTTATGCTATGCTTGGCATAATCTACCGGACAGTTGTGCTCAGTGCCACCAATAGGCGCATTGAGAAGTAAGTACAGTCTCATGAGAGTTCCTGGGCCATTCTTCTTGATGACTTTGATTTCTCCACCCATCTTATTGACCTATAATCACATGCTTGTAAGGTGAGATTCTTAAAAAAGCTCACTTAAAAAGCCAAATCTGTTATGGTGTAGTTTGCTGATTAAGTGTCCTTTATTCTGATTTTTGACTTTGGTTTTTCTTCTTGTGGTCTTTCTTGTAAATTTAAGCATTCTCTTTTACGCCTCGCCATCTTTTTGCTGCACATGATAGAGATTTGATGAGAAATCAACTCACCAAGGTTCGCACGATGCATAGGCCGAGACCAGTGCCGCCATGTCTGAACGGATGCAAAGAAGAAGAGTAAGATTTTGCAAAAGATCTATATTTTAGATGATATCTCTCCTGCATGAGCATTTTCTTTGACTAATCTGCCCTACATAAACTAACTTGAGATTTTTTTTTTTTGAACAGATAACTCGAGCATTTATCATGAGAACTCTCATCAAATTTACTATTTTTGACATTTGAAGTGCTCACAGTCGAGTTGTTGATGGATCGGCCTGCTCAAAGCTTTCAAAAACAGATTCCCATTTGCCTGGATCGATTCCTACAACAAGAGAAAATGCTCAGTGGATTTCCCAAGCCAAAAAAAAAAAGAAAGAAACTAATCCTGGGCAGTATGGTATGAAGAAACTTAAAGACCTCACCACAGCCAGTGTCGTCAACTTCGAACCAGAGAGTCACTTTGTTGTCTTTCTTGGATGCCCTTCTTGCGTGACTACCATGTTGCTTCAACTTTGTCTTAAGTGAAGAAATGGATATTTTATGCTCAAGAGGAAGCTTTACATAGTCACTCAAGGTCCTTGAGTTTCCGCACCATCCTCGTATGACAATATGACCGGCTGGCAATCACCGCAGATGGTAAGTTACTCTTGATACAGAAAGTTTAGGTGTTCTTTATGTTGTTTTGCAAACTCATGTATATTGTTCCGAACTATTCTCAAATTCTTGTCCCCTGAAATCCTGATCACAGATTACCACTCGCTGTTTGCTTTATGTCATCGTAAACACCAGCATGCAATCAGGCCTTGTGAGATTAGTATTACTCACATGTAGTAAATTTGATTGAATTGCTGATAAGATTCGCAAATATTTGAACAACCCTAGCAGAGTCCCCTCGAACTAACTTTGGCATATCATCTGCGAGGAAAAGAAAATTGATGAGGCCTGCTAAATGAGGCTTTTTCAGCATATTAGTTGCTGATAGTGGAGTTCATGCTTAAAGGTCATACCAGCAAGATCTAAGATAGTCTCCACGTTGTGATTAATGCACTGCACTGAAAACATATCAACAAGTCCTTCAAGTTCTCGTGCTAAATTGAACTCCGCCTCCTCCATCACTAGTTTTCCGGACTCCACCTGATAACATAGAGAAGACAACTAGAGTAAAAAAGTGCAATGTATGTGCATCGCCTGCAACTTATACTATTATCTACATATGTGCGCGGTCGCTCGTTCCTGCACAAACATTTGCTATATTTCTTCATAAGTGCACAATTTTTCTGTACTGCTGCAGATACTAAAGGCAAGATTTAGCTCTTCTATCATATCTGACCTTGCTAAGATCCAAAATATTGTTCAGCAGCCTAAGCAGAGCGGTTGAGCATTTTCGAATTTGGGTGACCGTTGAGTATTGTTCATTCGTTAGGCAATCATCACAAACAAGAATGTCCAGCAATCCGATTACTGCAGCCATAGGCGTCCGCAATTCATGACTGTAACACAAGATATATGTATCAGAAGGTAGTTTAAGTATGTCATCATGACCTTAGTAGTCCTATATATTAATCCTATTATTGCTAGAAGTCGATAGAACTTAAGAAATCCATTTCCACAGCACCCGCTTTTATCCAAATAATAGAACAGCCTAGCATGTGTCGACTTAAGTTTTGTATGTTCTCCCTTTTCCCATCACCATTGATGCCCAAATTGACGATGATAACAACTTTCTGAAGATTAAGATGGAGGTTCACCTCATATTTGCCAGAAATTGACTTTTGTAGTTGCTTGATGCCTCGGCTCGCCTCCTTGCATCAAGGTGGCTTATCAGTTCTGCTCTCAGTTTCATTTCCTTTGATACTCCATTTGTCAGTATAAAAATGCAGAGGCATCCGATCACCAAGGTACATAGTGAAGCAGATATGAGTATGACCAATGTTTTGAAGGCTCTCTCATCCACCTTCCCCAGTATATATTTTCTTGGTATGATGATCACTCCCACCTGCAAGAATTGTTGCTCAGTTCATTCTCTAGTGAAATGTTCAAACTGATGGGTGTGCATTTGGAAAAATTTTGTGTGGAAAGGAAAGCACAATTTTCAGAAATTCCCTGCAATTTGGTCTCCACTGATCTTATACGTGTCAAGTGTACAGTGTATTGTGCACGTACATTTATGTTTAAGCTTACCATAGGGAGTCTTTCCAAATTCAGAAAGAAGGAATCAATGTAATAGTGCTGGCGATCGAGTTTGGCATTCTCTACATGAACTTCATGACCTGCAGGAAAATTGTTTCCGTAGGTCCTCTGCAGCCACTCGGCTCCCAACTGTATGACTTGATCTTGAGAATGGATGGCCATCATAAGCTTCGGCCCTTTCGTCGAATTGATCAAGACAGGAGTGTTGCTAGAAGTTGCAAGCAACCAACCTTCTTGAGATGTCAAATAAATGTGCCCACTATGAAACTCAACAAGCTCCTTCATTAGCTGGCCAACGCTATAAAGCGCTGTGGTCACGCCCACGACCGCCACTATGCTCTCATGGGAAGGATCCCACACGGGCAATGCCGCCGAAAGTAGTGGGGAGTCCGAGTATTTGCTCACAGCCACGTGCCAAGATGCTACCCCATCAGGGACTTGAGAAAGCCCAGCAATGTTGATGAGATCATCGGGCAGTATTGTCCTTGCTTTGCCTATCTTGTCGCCTGTGACGGGGTCGAGAGGTACACGGTACCAAGTCGCCGACATGTTGCCGTGGATCGTTTGGTCGTTCCATCCCTGTAGTGACGAAAGCGTATTGAGACTGGAAGACCCACTGGTGCTGATTGAATAGTTCATCAGGTCGGAGTATATGTAGAATGTGTTGTTGCTCCTGTGATCTCTATGGAAAGCCTGGACAAAGCCGTTTCGGTAATTGATTGTTATCGCGTTGAGTGCTCTACGACTCACAAACAGTGCCCACGTGACATCTCTCATTGCCTCATACAGCTGCCAAAGAATGGACTAGTTATTGACAAAGGTATCATACCACTAAGAAAACCTCAAGTTTGTTGGACGGTTGCTAATAACAACCAAAGGTCGTCGAAGACAAACCTGGATTTGTTCGGCCTGAGTGGCAGGTTTATTGTACCGCCGGATCACATATTCCGAGAGCTTAACCTGAGCGGTTGTTATTTCAACGGTGGAATTAAGGATGTTCCACATCCGTAACAGGGGACGCTGCAAGAGCTCATGACGGAGTCCATATGCTAAGCTGTTCAGAGACTTTGTCGTATAGGTTCTGGTGATGTGCCATGTTAGTATTGTGAGCAACCCAATTAAAATGGCCAGCATAACCTGCGAAAACGTGACAATCCACTATAATTGATAGCTGAGCACATGTATTTTCTTTCTGTTCGCATTTAAAGCGAAACGCGAGACTGTCTGATAGGACTAAAAGTCGCTGCTGATCAAGACAAAAGAAACAATACCTATCAGTAGCACCTCTAGAATCTAGGAAATGTACTGAGAACAGAGGAATTACTATTGTCAACTAAAATTTCACCTTTGAATCCTTAACATCAAGCTCGCGAAAAGTGTAGCACTTGGAGATCTCAGTAAATAATAAAACTACGTCGATTGTATTTGCTGTTCATTCACATCAAATGGTCAAAGATCTTAATGCAGTCATCATTTTCCAATGTATATGGCCGAAATTAATTCGCATGATCAACTAGTTGATACAATACAAGGAGCATGCAATTTGACATCAGCAAATTGCAGTCCTCGTTGATTTTACCAACCGAATGACCATGCTCATTATAAATTCTACTTTTACTTACTATGACTCACTATGATGGCAACACATATCACTCGGACAATGACTAATATCATACTACACAGTCGCTCATTTCACCGAACATCCATCACTTTGTTGTCCAAAGCACATGATCACTAATTCATCACACCATTGAACAGACCATGTAGTTAAAAATTTGACTGACCATGATGGCCAAGCGAGCCACGAAGACGCTGTAGTACGATGACAAGCAACGAGCGTTCGCATACTGAAACTCATCTTGCTGAACATCTCTATGAAAAACCCGACGGCGGCCCTGCAGTGCCATCCCCCTCTTCCAAGGATAGGCGAGGCCTGAAATCCTCTCGAACACCTTCCTTAAAGGCGTCCCCATCGGCGTGACAGGTGGGGTTGAGCTATCAGAGCATATTGTCGTTGTTGTTGCAAGACCAAAACTCTCTGCCATGACGACTCACTCACTCCTGAGTCTTATTAAGTATGCATATCCAGAGAAAGAGAAAGCCTTTTGCTCTCTGTGTACGCGTGCATGCGTGCGTGAGTGTGGGTGTGTGTGTGTGTGTGTGTGTGTGTGTGTGTGTGTGTGAGAGAGAGAGAGAGAGAGAGAGAGAGAGAGAGAGAGAGAGAGAGTTGTATAGTGTTGTGAGAATACTGCTTCTTGTGTCATTTCCCACTTTTTGAAGGCAGGGAACATCTAGATGGTGCAATTTTTCTAAACGTGGAAGGAGGGGTGTGATATTATATTCCTCTTCCACCCACAAACCCCCTTTAGTGCAAATTTCTTTCGGTGCGCGTCTTTTCTCATACTGCAAATTCGACCGCTGGAGTTGAATTGGAGGTTCAGTGTAGCAGAAGTTTCATCAGTAACATTGTTTATGACCATGACACAAAAAAGGCACGGTAACGAGCTTCCTCTTGGTGACCACAATAGTGCCAAGCTTCTTGTACCAAGTTTCTTTTAGCTCCAACAGCTTAAAAAGATTTTACCATGTTCATGGGAATACTCAAACTCAACTGAGAGAAAGTGGTTGTGTCTAGATTTCTCTTCATTCTGGGTTTGAAATTTGGCATCAGAATGTTCGGATGAGAACGCTTTCTGGGCATGTCGAATTTATCGCTATGCTGCTTCTTAAAAGCTGCCGAAATTAATAAAAAATGTCAATGAACTTCAAAAACAAATGTATAGCAAAGAATGTTTGTTATCTACCATGTCTTGGGCAGAACCATCTTGCTTTGCCCCAACAGTTTTCACTTTGTCCAGTTATCAGAGAGTATCAAAATTACACCCAAAAACAGAGGGTGTTAATCAGAATTTTTGTTTCCTGAGAACTGGAATCAATTCATGGAGTCAAAAGTCAAAAGTCCTTCTCCTTTTGAAAATCAATGGACAAGACTGAGGGAGAATCTTGGTCTGAAATTTATATCTTCCTGTGGTTAAAGAGGGAAAGAAATGATAAATAAAGAAAATCAAAGACTGAACAATAAAAAAAAAAACTAATGGAAAGTTGGAACTTATCATGATTTAGAATCTAAATGAGAACCAATGGACCCAATTGTATCTGGTTTGACTTGAACTTGCACTTGCAGGCCCCTTCAAGCAACCTGAACTAGTAGAAGTCACATTCAAATCCAATTTTGAGCAACCTTTTCTTTTTCTGTTAAAGAAACCAAATCTGCATTTTTACGTTGTTGACTTGACCGTTGAACGGCTGTTTCCCCAAAAAAGTTTAAACTAGCAAAAGACGTGCGTACAGTAGATATCGAAAATACGTATCATCATGCCTCATTATGTGTAAGCCGGACCTTGTGCATGGAATGTGGGATGTCAACGTAATCCCATCGAGCAATGATAGAGATCTAACTGGACCATTCTTTTGCAGAAGTTCAACCAGTTTTTCCACATTTATGAAAACCTTTTTCCACTGCAAACTCAAGACTCATTGCAGTCCAAAAGAAGCAGTCAAAGGCATTCTCCATCAGATGAAGAGTTCCAAGTGCATGCTTGATTATTACGTGTCTCAGGTATCATACTTTGGCAATAGATGGGAATTGACAAGTCAAAAAAATCAATGCTTCTTTTTTAATTTTGCCACAATTCAATGTCACTGGAAAGACTTTACTACAAGGACACAACTGTTACTTTTATCCATAGATATGGCCCACATGGAGTGTTAATAAACAGCTTCAATTGTCCTCAGCCACATGAAATCTTGCCAACTTGCTAATCACTCGTATTAATTGAGAAAAACACCAACTTTAAGATCAATTGCACGCAGAAAGATGGTGAATTCATAAAGGATTAATTTATCATGTGCGCATGATGCAACTTGGGTTGGTCGTTGTACTAGAAAGTAAAAGGCGAAAACGATTGAAAGTTAATATCAAGAAAAATCTTTTGAATAAATTACATTTAATCACTGCAAAGAAGCATCTAAGTTCAGGACAAAAACCCAGAAATGATAGTAAAAGTAATGAAAAGAAGGCTTATAAAGATTGGATGAGTGGGTGGTTAGGCTCATGGCAATCCAAATGTCTGAAGACTAATGCACAGGGCGGCTTGATAATATTGATTAAAGGTCTCACAGAAAGACTATGGCCTTGTGTATTCTTTAATATGCCTCGACTTGGCACATTTTACCCTCTAGGATGCAAGTTTTGTGACTCCACATCACAAACCACAGAACCAAGACCTAATTTGTGATCTAGCTCATGGATTGAATCAACAATCATCACTATACTGTCAGAAAGACACTTGGGACTTTAGTTTGTCCCAGTTTGCCTTTGAAGCTACATGAGCTGCAGCGACCATAGTGCTCTCTTTCATTGGCTCATGTGAAAGGAGGAAAACCATTAAGGAAGAGCATCCATTTACGTGTAATGTATACTTCTGGTTTGGTATATAAAGAGGAATTTGCCGTATGATTTGTTTACAAAAAGTGATGTGGCGAACTGTAATTAGTATCCAGCCGGTGGGTGGGTAAATAAGATTTTCCCGAAGAATAACTTCCTTATGGATGAATACCGAGAGACTACATGAAACATGAGTCTTAACACTTCTTAAGACAGTGGCTACTAATGATCGTAAGCAAGATGGAGAGATTGCATATGTCTCCATAACGATAAGCATTTCAACCTAGTACGTAATGAGAAAAAGAACATGTTGCTAGCGATAGGAAATTTGATATTGTAAAGCTAGGTATTCGATTTTTTGAGTCGATGAATCTCCATGTGCATCGTGTAGAGCGGCTGGCACAACTCTTGTGTTAATCTGAAGGCAAAAGCTTGGGGAATTTTGAAGGGTACAAGAACAGCAGCTATCTTATCAAGGGGTACATACATTCAATGTACATTGGACTCAGAATCAGAGCTTCTGGATCTCTTTGTAATGACTTATCCCGAGATTATGTAAAAGAGAGATATTCCTCCACATGGTGCTTTCCGTTTCATGCTCGCAACTAGACTTTGTCTTGATATGATAAAGATCACAAGAACCTCCAAACAGTTCGCTCCGAGTCAAATCTACCAAATTCAAGATCAAGACTCCCTCCAACATATCTTCCAAGATCAGCTCTTCCTTGTCGGGATCAGAACAAATCAAATCGACTGGAGATGCTGTGTTGAACAAAATCAACTCAAAAGCAAGATTTGATTCGCTATGGCAAAGACTCCCAAAAACAAAAGCAAGAAAGAAATTTTGGGCCATGGAGAACGAGAGCTAGTGGAGCAAATTAAAGGAACAAGACAGACCCACATCACAGAATTCTCCGTACAGTACGATGTTGGTTGTTGGAGATCAATTTACGGGCATGTCGAATAATAGACTGCGACTCTCCGGGGACAATGTAACTATCGCCATGTTCTTAAATTTTCCAAAAATGCCTGGAATCGATTCAAGCTCATATCATTATCCATTCGAGTTGGCTCTCCTTTCGGTTCGGTTCGATTCATGCAATGCTCAGAGAATTGAAACGTACTCGATAGAGTCGAATCCTATATTTCTTACATTTTTTAGAGAGAAATAAGGTGAGCCACTAGATTCCACATCGCACGCCTTGACTTTGTGCACACAGACCCACACCACCACCTCAAAAGTGGAGCAACGCGTTGGCCATTTCTCAGAATAGAGGCATTTACATGACGCTCCACTCCCACTTAAGTCCCCCTTCCATATGCAAATCCTTCCCGCGATTGGACACGGCTTCCCATTGGTGGGGCAGATGGCTTGTGTTTGTGAGTGAGAGTGGAAGCTCCATTCATGGCGCGAGAGTCAAGTGGAGCCAGAAATTAAATCCACTGTTAAAAGGAACTCTATGAGTAGAAGACACATTAGCCATTGTCAACCAAGTGGGTGGCCTCGATGGCGATGGAAGTCAAGCTCAAGAAGGGGCAAAACCATTCCTAGAAGTGAAGATTGGTGGCTGAGAGAGTGATGTCTATTGACCAGTGATGGGATGCACAATGGAAACATCAGTTCTTGAATCTTCCTCCTTTATGCCTATAGCTAGGAACACTAGCAGAAAACGATGATAATGTTCCATGCAATGTGGGTGGATCATGTTCCCCACTGTCATTTTTGTTTCTCCCCGTGTCAGTTCAGTCACGGCAGAGCAAACCAAAGACTTCTACATACTGCAACAAAACCACGGGGCTCCGCAAATTACTATGGAACTAATCAAGAATGAAACTCTCGACTCTCTTATCTGGTTTTAGATAAAACCAGCTCTGCAATCTTTGCTCACATTGATAACGGCGCTCTAATCAGTCACCTGTTTCTAAAGCATCTCCAATACAACACAAGCAAAATCAACCAGTCAATTGTCCAGAGTCCACATCGTCCCATGCATTGATAAATAATGTACAGAGATGACAACATTAGCAACGTGCTTTTGCACAAGCGACCTTGATTCCCTGATATATGCGGTGTATCTCTCCAGCTAATGTGTTGTTCATGATAAAAACAGATGCGGCATCTATAAAATAGAGACAATTCCCAGCAGATGTTTGCTCATCTTCAGACCGTGAAAGTTAAGATGCCTGTGAACTGGGGCACATGGACTGAGAAAATAAAATCGAGCACAAAAATTGCAAAAGCCTCTTCCTCGACCAACCTACAGGTATACAGATTCAAAACCCTGCAAAGTCATAAAGCTTCAGAAGCTTTTCACCCATCAAAGAGTTCAAAACAAGTTTCCTTGCTTAAAACTCAGCTGGAGGAATATGCTTTAACTTATAGCGCTCTATTTCTTTTTGAACATTATAGTTAGACCATAGGGCACTACGAAAGCACTTTATCTAAATCCATTCTCTAGACCGTGTCCGTGTTCAAGACACGTCAAAACCATCAAATGCCTGAAAGTTATTTCATGAAGATAAATTAATGCCAAGATCCCAAATACAACAGAATTCAACCAACATCAAGAAATTTCTGATATTATCCCCAAAATCCATCACATCTAGGAATTTCTCTACGGTTCTTATATCAACTTACAACCAAGAGAATTGGTAAGGGGAAAAAAAAAAGGTAGCCACAAAACCAATCGCGCGTCACCTACTAACAAAAACAGGGTACATGACAATTTGCTTCAATCTTAATTTTGTTTTCAGCGAAGAAGAAGGCGACGGAAACCCTACGAAGGTGCATCTAAGCTATCAACAATTCAAACTCCCCACAAAGGATTTACTTAGATTTCTTGCTTTTAGCTTTTGCCTCAGCAGCAGCAGCTTTAGCAGCAGACTTGGCAATAGTAGAAGGTTTAAGAACACTCTTAGGGTTAAATGCCTTTCTGATCTTAAAAACAGCCCATGCTGTCCCCATGGCATGCCCTGCCGCATGAAGCCCTTCATGTGTTGCCTTGCCAGCTTCTTCTCCATACCTGCAATGTAGACAACTTGCAAAATTAACATACAAAGTTTACTAAAACAAAGCAACGTGATTACAGAATGATTGGGCTTGTAGCAAGGTTAATCTTCCTAGTGTTGTTGTTTATATTGATAAGATGCACTTACCCCCAAAAAAACATGGTACCAGACATTATTTTCACCCCGCGAAAGAAACATGGTAACAAGAAACTGCTTATCCCCCCTACTTTACAATATATGCCACCGTCACGGGATTTTACATCATTGAAATTTTGATGATGGGTAAATGGAGGTTGAAAATAGTGGGTTCCAAATTTCCGATATATGGACCATGACGTATACCGTCCATAAAGAGGTTAAAAAACAATAGTAAACTGCAAAGTCATCACAACCTACATTGCATTCCACGACCCGTCTCTTGACTAGTGGCTTACAATAGCTGACCTGTGTGCTTATGGATCCTATCCCTTGATATTCAAACTAACCATTCTTCAAAAGAAATTATTTAACTACAGTTTACCTATGGGATACAAGTCCAGTTGTCACAGTAGAGGATGTAGCCATGACATTCCTTCCAGCCACTTCAACCGCATCACACACCTTGTCTGCATCGAAGCAAAATCGAAAATGTTAATATTCAAGATTAATAACAAAGAAAGTCGGCAGTATTTATGTAAGAATATAATGCTGTTGAAGGCTTGAAGCATTTTGTAGCGTGAGCAAATGGATTCAACCCTTATAGGAGGATCCTCAATGAGACTGATTAGGCGATTAGTAGTCAGAGTTAATAGTGAAAGATAGAAAAGAAGGGCTAAAAAAAGTAATGAAAACTGAAAGAACAAACAGACAGGAATAGATGCTAGCAGAGCATCTGCTTAAATAAATTAGCAGTATGAACACATTCACTTACTAAATCCGTCAAGTGAAGCCAGGACCATTTCCCCTGGCAGTAGACCAAAAAATTTCTTGCCCACCGTAGAATTTGCAACTGAACTTGTGAAGAATCCGGAGACTCTAACAACCCCAGATAGAACACCTGTTGCTACTTTCTCGGTCATCCTTGTCATCTTCTTTGCCCTGATAGCAAAATGAGGCCACGTTACTACAAATAATCATTTGGTATTCATCAAGGCAAGTACTATTCCATGCACTTGTTTCATATGAAAATCAAAATGGCTGCATTAGTAACTAACGTGTATGTATTGAAGCGGTCCCAACTTACAATCTACCAAGAAAAGCAATAGACTATGAGTTTTTGATGTACAAATCTAGAATGCAGCCAAAAACACAAGTATGAATGCTCAAACGCTAATGCAATTTCATACCTTTTTAATCTCTTCAGTGTTTTCTTATCGATCTTGGCCTTCTCTCCAGGAGTCATCCTCTTCTTCATAACCTCATTCCCCCAATGCAATCTATCCACGGTCACATCTCCGCACCACAAGATACCCTTGATTAGCTGTCCTGACCCTGCTGCAATTAACTTTGCCGCGGTCCCACTGTAATCCTCAACATTCGGTGCCAATGTCGTCCAATATGCCCTACACCTCTCCTCCATGATATCCTTCTTCTTCCCGCCCGATTCCAATTCGGCCGGCGAGGTCTCCTTCGCCACAGTAACATCCAAAGCCTCTCCTTTTTGCGACTTTTGAGATACTTTCTGTATGGAGAACGCACTGTACTTCTCCAGAATCGCGTCCAACTCCCTCAACAGCCCCTCCTGCCCCTTCGACGCGAAGGTCAAGCCGTAATTCAACGGATCATCCGACGCCCCGCTTCCCTTCTTACCCTCCTCATCGCTCGAGTCGGACCCGGATTTCGCCTTGTCCACCACGCCGAGCGAGAAGAAATAATGCGAGTCGTCGACCTTCACAGTGGCCTCGTCCTTGGTCAGGGGCCACTGCGGCTCGTCGGCGACGCGGGCGAGCACCGCGACGGCGTTCTCGCCCTGGCGGAGGGCGATCACGGAGAAGTCCCCGCACCCGAGCTCCACGCTGTACTCCCTGTCGATGAGGTGGAGGATCGCGCCGGGGACCCGGATGAGGACCTCCTCGGCGGAGTCGGGAGGCGCGGGCGCGGACCGCGGGCCGCCGTCCCCGGCGGCGGCGGCGGCGTCGCCTCCGGGGGGGCGGCGGGAGGAGGGGTCGTGGGCGTAGGGGTCGGGGAAAAGGTTCTCGACGAGGTCCTTCATGTCGAGGGAAGGGTAGAGGTTGGAGGAGGAGGAGGGTGGATGATGATGGGGGTCGGGGTTAGGGTTGGAGAGGAAGGGGGAAGAGGACTCGGGGTTGGATCGGGGGACTTCTGGGTAGAGCGAGGAGGGGTGCGAGGACATGGCGGCGCTTGGCGGCTGGCTTGCTCGGCGGCGGCGGCGGCGGCGGCGTGACGGGTTGGACGGAAACGGGACGAGAGAGAGAGAGAGAGACGGTGAAGAAGATGAAGATGAAGATGAAGATGGAGATGGAGGTGGCGAGACAGCGTCGAAGAACGTGGACAGACCGCGTACGAGGAGAGAGAGAGAGAGAGAGAGAGAGAGAGAGGGAGACGGGGGGTGGGGGCGGCGGCGGCTAAAAATCGACCGTCCGGTCTCGGGAGCTTCCCGCGCTTTTACCGGTGAATCTTTGATGACTAATCAATGTGGTTAATTAATTAATTAATAGGAAAGAGAGGGTGATTTTCGAGAATCTGCGCGAGTGGGCCCCCCCCAACTGGAGACGTGGCGGGAGATTAGTGGATACGGTACGGCCCACGTGGCGCAACAGCCAGTGTTTTCTCAATAGACCCTTTGCTTTTCTTTTTTCCCTTTGTCTGTGTGTGCGTGGGTGGGGCACATCTTTTTTTTTTTTTTAATTTTTTTTTGGATTGACCGAGTGGCGACTTTTCAATTTCGCGACAGTTTTTGAGACTCCCGACCGCAGTCATCCAGACAAAAATTGGTTGACTTTCGGGATTTGTTAAGGATTTTACTTTCATCCAGACAAAACTGCAGTCAATGTGTGAAGAGTAATTTATGATGAGTATCTATGACTTTGCATGGTTACAAAAGGTTTGGACTTGACCCGCTGGCACTCATCAATCATTAAAGGGCCGTAAAACTCGTTTGATTCTCTCTAATGGCGACAGGGATAGAGGAGCAAGAACTTCTGAGATCGACTACAACCGGAATGAAGCTTTCAGGGTCGTCGTTCGCCGTCCCGCTCGTCGCCGCTGCAGTCGTCCGAACTTGGAATGCAATGGTACGGATCTTCCGAAACGATGAGCTCTTCCAGGGTCTTGTGACTGCCCCGGGCGGATAGAGCGGCCTCATGGCGCGGGAGGTTGGTCCCCGGAGAGCGGCCTCCTTCCGTCCTTCTCCTCGAGAAGCTGGAGGTCCTGGCCCGCTCGCCCAGCAAGCAGTCCGTCGACGTGGCCGAGGTCTCGCCGAGGAGCGACTGGCTGGACGATGTGCAGCTCGTCCTGGAGCTGGCCCGCTGCTTCCACATGCTGAGCGATCTCCTCGTGTTCTCGGAGATCAGGGCCTGCTTGTAACTCGAGCCCATCTGCAGCAACATAGAATTGCAGAATTCTTAGGTGGTGGAATATCCCACTGTTACTTGACAATGGGTTTATATGCTTTTATATAGGCACCATCTTCCTCCACCTAGTAGCTTAAGCTTTTTGCGTTGCACTTCCTAAAATGGAGCTCAGTTCTGCCTTCAATTCAAGCCGGATAGTCTAGATTTGGCAAGTGGTAAAGCATGTTGCGAAAACTGCTAATTTCATTTTGGAATTGCAGTGATCTTAATGGGGTCATGACGTGGGTCAATCTGATGATTATGCAGTGATCATGCGAGGTTTGTCTGTCTGCCTTTGTTCATCTGGTGATTTTCGTGGGAACCATGTCTGGCTTAGTCTATGCAATCGTCGTGGAAGTAGTTTCTTGTGTTTTCCTTGATACCAATGATGACATTGGCTATTGAAAGAGAGAGAGAGAGAGAGAGAGCAAACCTGTGTGACCAAAACGTAAAGAGGGAAAGTAATGGAGCTGCACCAGAATTGGGAAACAACCCTGTAATAAGTTTCAAAGAACGAAAGTATGTGATGAGATCATGCTATCATGTGTGATTTCTGAAGATGAGCAGCGAGAAAAATTGAAGTATAAGTGATGAATAATACCCGAATATTAACCGGATCACCAGGAATCTGTGGTTGTCCATGAAACAAGAAGCACCCTGAATTTCCCACTGAAACATAGTAAAGGAACATATAAAGCCAATATGTTCTCTAGAAAGATGAATTGCTCTTGGTTTTTTTGCTAGTTTGAAAGATGGACTACTGGGATCCCCATAGTGATTATAGCTTCTCGTATGTGCTTTTCACTAACTACTAATTTTGCAAGAGCTGTATCTGGGTGTGCATCTACCAAGGCGGCGGCACGTCTTCACATGACGCAGTGCTCTGACTGTAGTGAGGAATCAAACTCTATACTGCTCTGATCCCAACTTGAAATTGAGGGCGAGACAGCTCAGTCCAAAAGCTAGTACAGAACCGAGTATATTTCTGTACCGCTGATAAGCAAGAAACTGACTTCTAGAGATGTGGAAAAGATGTGCCCAGTCTGATCGATAATAGTACAAGCAGCGATTCTTTCACAAATAGGAGTCTTGAAAGTTTGCCGAGTTCTTACCAGGGACCAAATGAAAGTTGCCATCTCAAACGCATTCTGTCAGTTAAAGAGAAAAGTGGGATTTGAGCTTCCATTTAGGAGTAGTCTTTAGTTTCGGGGTAACAGACAAGTTCTCTGGATAATATTCACCTGAAAGGTTATGAACTGCACCAACCACAAGAGAAGCTTTGGTTTGCCGAACCAAAAGAACTCGTCCCTCAGATTAAGGTAATGATGTCCTGTGGCTGGGCAATAGTCCCTGATCTCGACCGCCAACTTCGCCACCACACGGTGTAGCTTGGTGCCAACTAGAAGGATCAGCTGTCGTGTCCCAGAAACGAAAGAAAAAGAGTTAGCGAAATGAACAAGTTCCATGCAGTTGATCAGTATATTTAAAGCAGAGATCGCGATAGGTTTGGGACATTACAACTGCTGGAAGGAAGGAAAACCAGAAGTAGACGTTGGTTCCTGAAAAAGTACATCAAGAGAAAAATGACACGTCTGATTCAAGCTCAACAAGCAAGAACAACACTGAACTGTGCCTTATCTCATTAATTGGGTCTGCTATAGATCATAGATATCCTTTTATCAAGAGTAATGGACTGCATAAAATTAGGTTATTCCTGCGAAACATCGAAAAAGGCAAAAATTGAAAAGGCTGCCAAATTCTCTTCAGCAAAAACTTATTTACGGAGAAACAAATGTCTTCCTTGTATAGATACTTCATACTTGTTGGTACAGAAAGCTTTTAGTGAATAAAAGAAAAAGCAAAGTTGAAGTCTGAAAAGTCAGACTGAATTTGTTGTATTGCTCCGAACGTTTTAAAGCCTTTAAAGATATGTGAGCTGATCAGGAGAGAATTACCATGAAAATTTAAGAGTATGCAGCATATCGCGTATATCCAAAAGGGCACGCTGCATTAAAAATCCAAAAGATGGCTCCAATTAGTTCAGGCAATTAGACTCGCTGCAGTGACTCCTGAGAGAAGAAGAAATCTGCAAAATGTAAAGCTGCATTGAAGAGAGAAACGAGTGTGGAGTGCATTGACCCCTAAATAAACTAGGCCATGACATTCATCTTCAAAGAGTTAAGCACAAGTACCCTCCATGCCATGTATCTGTGTTTCGTTGCACTCTTTCGCATGAGCTTCTCTAGAAGTGTATTATTACATGTCTGAGAACTAGTTCCAATTTACCGTGTTTTTTTTCCCTCTCCAGTTCCACAGTGTTTTCTGCTATTTGGTTAAACTCCTTATATACAATTGATTGACTTCTATCTAGTTTCATTTGAGACATGTAGATTTTGTCTAGAGTTATTTTCGAGTATAGCAAAGTGCTGCAGCTATAGAGATCTGATGTAGGTAACAACTTTGCTGAGCAAAATTTGATGACTTGAATATTTTACCCTGGGTATCTCTTGGTCTGATGTTCGAATAGCATCTGAAGAACTGCAATTTACTTGTCCAAATAGTTTAAAGTTCAATGCAATCAAGGCAAATAGAAACTAATTTTCGTTCACACACCACATCCTTAAGCTTAAGCTTGATGATCAGAGAACAAAATTGAGCATTGTGGGCATATGAAGAGTGTGTTTTGTAGCCTTCCGCAGACTAAAGAATCTAGCAGTGTATCCCTATGGTCAAATTGATAAATCAAGTAAGAGTTTCACACTGACTGAAGTTATAGCAGTAAGTCAGTACAAACCTCAAGCCGAGAGAAATAGGTTACCTAATGCCAACAATATCGCTGAATTCCTCGTCCATGGTCCGGACCATATAGTTATGGAAATCGTAAGATAGAGGAAGCTTATGAGTCTACAATTCAAGAAAAGTAAGTGTCAAAATGCAAGTATCTAATTGACACTTTAAAGCCTCTCTTAAGTCTTCAGTATGGCAAATGAATTCTATACAATTCCTTTAGCTTTCATATTTTCAGTAATGAGAACGTATTTCACGCAACAACTCCAATTAAAAGAAAGTTTCTTCTTCTTCTTCTTCAAAAAAAAAAAAAAAAAAAAAACAGCAGATGTCCAATTGCATAGCCTCAAGGTTATCATGATCTACGGTAAAATGCATTCTTTTGCTTTACCCAAACGATAGCCAAACTTGTGCAAAACAAATTCAGACAAACCATCATAAATAACTGAGACCAGGAAGAGCAAGAGATGAACTTTGGTTAAGAGTCAATCCATACAAGAGCTACAAGATAGTACTCAACCACTCTGTTTAGTCAAATTAGTAGAACTTCACCTCCACTGATAAATGCACTTACGGTAATGAAGCCCAACCGCATAGCCATGTAGTCCACTTGGTTAATAGAACTCCAGAATTGGCGGCCGAAGCAAAGCTGCGAACAAAGTATGACTGCCAATTGAAATATCTAGAGGTAAATGTCAACAAGTCAAAGTAAACTATTTGGAGCAAAGTCATCGCAGATGAAAGTTGTTTGGAGTTTTGTTACACTAGCATAAGAACAAGACATGCCTTTAATAACTAAAGTGAGAAATTTCAAACCCAAAAGAAAAATAAAACTTATGCTATGCACATTCACATGCCATATGTGCTGCTGTATGTGTGAAAGATTGGCTATTTGTCTCGATACCAGCCAAACGAGAACTCTGTCCTTGCTCAATGGATGCAAGGTGTGGTGGAATATGCTTGGAAAACCTGGACGATACATGAAGAAAACGCCTCAGCATGTAACCATTTCCTGAAACATTATATCACAAGATTAATTGCTTCTGAGGGAAAATTGGAGCACCATTACCTTCCTTTATGGTCATTCTCTTAGCGTGGTTTTCCCATGTTCGCCAACTATATATCTTTTCAGCGAAGATTGATTTGGCCAAAAAGGAAAAAAGAGATAGAAATGAAGAACTCTTAGATAAAGAACAAAGAAAAACTACGGGATTCGACAAGAAGCTATCCTCTTGACAACATTGATTACCTTAGTAATGGCCAGGGAAATGGCTGCGAAGCTGTAAGATACATGAATAATGACAAGGGCAAACAGTAGGCGGTGAAGCTGCTCGAGACTTTCATATGAAACGAAAGGCTCGTGCCCCTGAAGAAGAATTTATATTTTTTTCTGAGAAGGTCTCCCAGACATAGACAGGAAGAGCAGGTAGATAATAAGTCATCACACAAGGGAAACTCTATCACCACCTCTAAAGTTATAAAGACTTCTATGATATTTAGACTCAAGATGCCTGCAGCTCGCAAAGGCTCGAGAACGCAAAATAAGATGGTATTTAGGACTGACATTCAAAATGCAATTTCGATTTGAGCAGTGCATCGGCAGCTGTACCATGGCTTTCCAGAATCGGAAATACAGAGAGCAAAAAACATGTTGAACAAAACAGCATAGTTATGCACAGATTATAAATAATATAACCCAATGGATGTAGCAACGTGAGTGACCTTAGGACAATGCTTCTGCCTCCCTATGATCACTTCGATGCTATAACCTGATTCATTTAACTTCTTTGAACTTGGGAAGACGACATTCTCCACCACCTTGATTACATCTTCTCTCATACAAGGATAGAATCGGCTGCTCGAGGTTGAAGATTTGATGCAAATCTTTGCGAAGTATGCGATCCAATGACCCATCAGCAGAGAGAGAAGCCCGAAAAGCATAAGCTCTGTCTTCCCCAGGAGGGGGGGGGGTGGGGACGGGGAATCGCAAGAACCACTTTAGGAACACACATTCCACCAAAAATGAAAAGGAAAAGCAAAGAAATGAGGGAATTTGTGAGTGTTTTGGTGGGCTCTACCATCCTTGATCTTCCCCACAGCAGCAACAAGACCTTTCCTCTTGTTCTTTTCCAACCACTGAGTACAAGCAAATAGATATTGACATCAAATTAAGGGAAAAATCAGGACACAGACACTTCTTTCCTTGGATGTACAAGAAAAATGATCAGAAGTAAGAAAAAAAGCAAAGAAGACAGAAGAAGCAGATGGTGATGATTGCTAACCTTTGCAGACCATTCCAAGGTACTTTGGAAGAAGGCGCCCAGCGCGACCAAGATGATTATCACAATTGCGAGCGCATAGGTCGGTGTTTCGGCGAGCGGTGCACCTCCCTCTATCTCCATAATGATATTCAAGCTCTATCCAAATACACAGATTCGCCTCAGGAAAGACTAGAAGTTCAAGAACATGGACCGATAGTAACAAGTCGAAACTGAATCTTTGTGCGAAGACAGATCATCATTGCAGCATGGCAGATCAAGAATGGTGGCATTACTTTGGTGGGTTATGTTTGAATATTACAGAATGAGATCTCAAACATGAGATGATCAAACAAGTCTTGCATTCATGGGGTGTTTCTGTAGGTATGGAATGCAGGGAACGGGTCAGTGTTAAGGTTGATGAGATAAAACTTAGAGCGCAAGAGAATAGGAGAGTTTGTTGACAAGCTGTGTTAGTACAAGGCCTAACCCCCAACTTTACGGCTAATTCTGCCTCGAACTTTTTAAACCACAAACTTTAGATTCAATTCAAATTTGCCCCGAACTTTTCCTTATTTAAAAAAAAGCCCAAACTTTAGGTTCAGTCCTAAATCTTTTTCGAACTTTTTTTTGTTTAAGAGAAAAATCACCAAATTTTAGTTTTGTCCAAAATACACCCTCATTAGCCCCATGCCCAAAAAATTGCAGTTAGTTCTCCCTAATTTTCATATCCTAAAACCATTTCATTTTGAAGATAATTTTACATGTTATCTTGCTGATGTTGATTTGTTATCGATGTGGAAATATCATGTCAAGTTGGGACTGGACCATGATAGAAGATTTGAGAATGAATTGAAACTTGGTGAATTGTTTTAGACAAAACAAAATTCGAGCCAGATTTGAGACTAGACTTAAAGTTTGAGGGTTTTTCTGAGGAAAAAAAAGTTCAGAGCAAATTTGGGAGTAGACTAAATTTTGGGGTTTTTTTAGATAAAAGAAAAATTCGGGGTAAATTGAAATTAGACGTAAAATTGGGGTTTTTTTAGGGAATTAGGCCGTTAATACTTAGTATGATGCATCCTAGCCCATCCCAGCCTGCGGGCCGGGCTAGATCCGGACCGACCCGATCCATTCACGATACAAAGCTTTCCAATCGCTCTTCGATGGCGGCGTCGTACCGCTCGCAGCAGCTGGTTCCAGCCGCCTCCGCGATTCCGATGGACGAAGCTCCGCCCTTGCCGCCGGAGTTCCTCGACTTCCTCGGCGAGAACGGCCTCGACCCGTCGATCTACGCCGTCGGCGACTCCGTCCCTCGTTACGTAAGGTGAGTGAATCCGTCGCTTGTTGTTGTTGCTTCGAAGCAGCTGTTCCCATTTTGGGGGCGATTCGCGTTGCTATGAGCGTTGTTCGAATTTTCGGGAGTTTAGGGTGAAACCCGGCGGCGAATCGTGCCTGCGGGAGCTCGAAGGCGAGCTCGCGTGCGAGGCGGAGGGGGTCGATTGGTTGCCCGGTTTTTATTCGCTGCCGCCGCGGGTTCAGATCGCTGGTACGAAAGCGTACCGTGAAGGCAAGGTAAGAAACTGGCAGGTTCAATCTATGGTCTTGGTGATAATCTTATGGGAGGATTGGGTTCTAGAGATTGATGGGTTTGGGTGTAATCTGGTAATGTAGCTTTATGGGATTGATGCTGCCTCCGGAGCTGCTGTTTCGGCTATGGGCATCGCCGAGGGAGATCACGTGCTCGATCTTTGCGCTGCTCCCGGTGAGCATTTCTCTCTTCCGTTCTTCTCGATCGATTTGTATGCTCGATGAATATGGTCGCTCGACTTATTCGAACGAGAAGCTAGTGAAAATGCCTTCTTGTGGTTTTAAAATTATTAATTTTGAGTGGCCGCGTATGAGCAGCTTGCTTGCTCATGAAACTTCCCCTGGCTCGTCCTCGTGCTTTGGGTTTCGACTATGGTTCCGTCGAATAAGCTGATTTGAGTTGGGCGGCATCATCTCATTTGATTTTGATCGACGACTCGGCTTGTATTTTCAGGTGCTAAACTTTGCATGATGCTGGATGCTCTTGGTGATTCGGGGTCCGTCACTGGTGTTGATGTTTCTGAACACCGTTTGGCAGCTTGCAGAACGATGGTGCAGAAGTATGCGATAGGCAATCGATGCCGATTGTTTGTTGCCGACGGAACGGCGTTTTCTGTGATTCCTGCTAGGGTTCATTCCTACAACTCATGTAATCCAACAGAAAGACATCCTGAACATGTAGTACATACTGTGTCATAATAAGTATTTGATGTTCTATCCTGTCTAGTGTTATGCAGGTGAATCCACAACAAATGAAAAGGCCCAAACATTCCAAGAATGGACTTCTAGGAGGCCATGGAAAGAGAGGAAGAGAGCAGCAAGAGCCCGACAAAGTGCTACTTCCAAGTCTCGCCTAGGATATCAATATCCTGAGATTATATTCTACGGGAAGCATTCTGGAGTTGTTGGCCTCACCAAAGATGACTTGTATCGGACTGTGTCCGACAATGAGCTTCTGCACTGCGGCTATGACAAGGTTAAATGCATATCTACATCTTTTTTTTCCTCTTCGAACCAGCTAATTCCATCTTCCTTTCCTTATCTTTGCGGGAGCTCTATTGTGAAATGTTAGTTAATGCAACCAATTGGTTCAACTTGGTTTTAGGTTCTTGTTGATGCAGAATGCACTCATGATGGTTCAGTAAGGCATATTCAGAAGTTTGAGCAGTGGGGATGGGAAACTCTTCAACAGCGTGTACTAGATGCAGAGAGAACAGATAACCTGACATTGCTCCAGGTAATTTGATAAAGCTCTCTTGCTAGGTTTGGTACAAGGCTGGGTGTCTCCTTCTTTTCTCTCTTTTCACTCCTTTAAATTGTTTTTCTCTTTGGAAAGATTAGAAGGATTACATATATTGGTTATGGGATACAAAACAGCACTAATATCTTTGGAATTTTCTTCTGATGGTATGTCTGAGGATACGATAGAGTGAAGGAGTAACTTCTTGAAAAATCTAGCTGGTGCTTTGTTGCTTGCTGTTGTTTTGTTCGTCTTTATGGACATTTGTAAGTTCCAATTGCGGAATTCTGGGCCAGCTGGGCTTTGTTGGTATTTTGCAAGCAATTATAAAGTGTTGTGATCTGTCATCGGCACACAATCCTTCTTTTGCAGTTAAAGCTCTTAATCAATGGCTTCAGGTTGCTGAAAGTTGGTGGGACACTCGTCTACAGCACTTGCAGGTTTTTCACATATGCAATTCTTTTACCTATGGTGAAAACAAAGCCTTGGTCCATCGCTTAATTGTTTTTGTTATTGCTCTCAGTTTGACAGTTGCTCAAAATGAAGATGTGGTAGACCAATTCCTCGAGGAAAACACGTCTGCTGGTAAGTCCCTTCTGCAACAAAGTCAAAAGTATATGGGGGAAAAATCGATGGCTATTGATGACATGTGCTCTTTTTGTGATAAGTACTTTCAAGTAATGACATTATAGTGGTAGGAAAACCTTTATTCTTTCAGCGGTTCATCTCTTCTTCCATTGGCAGTGCTGCAGGAGATTGATGCTGCAGCAAGTTGGCCCTGCAAGAGTGGGAGGATACCCAAGACTTTGCGCTTCAATCCTTCAACTTCTCAAACTAGTGGACTTTTCGTGGCGAAGTTTACAAAAATTGGCTTGTGACTAGAGAGGGAATCAGACTCGTGCTCAACACTGCAGTGGTGATAGATTAGCAGATTATTATACTTAGTAATTTGAAGTTTCCATGAGCTGAGAACACAGAAATTTTGTCTTTCTTGTAAAGGGATGATGCAAATTGGTGTTATTTTTTCTACGCTTGATGCTTGATAAAACAATCTTAGAAGTTTGAACTTAAATAGTCAGTTGCATGACTTCCCATAGGGTGGTTTCATTTTAACTTCGCCAGGTGAGATTGACTATGTGCTTTTCTGGGGTGGAAGAGCTGAAGTTGGGGTAAGGCCAACATGAGGTGATTGGCTTGAGGCATTCGATTATTCAGAATCCGATTTAGGAATATACTTAAGCTCGGTTAATATCTGAGATATTATTAAGATGGTTGGCTTGGCGATAAAGGGATCATGTTTTTTTTATATGAGGTCACGAATTTGATTCATGACGTGAGTAAATCTTTGAACGTCTTGTACTTTTTTGTCTAAGTGCTGTGTATCTCGTGTGGAGAGACTTCCTGGTTGCTAGCATCTTGGTGAGACTTCGATAACTGAACAGTTTATACTGCGTTATTTGGCTGCGCTATATCTTGAATGGAGGGACTTTCTGGTTGCTAGCATCTTGGCGAGACTTCGGTAATAGGCGCACTTGTATTGCATTGCCTCACTGCGACATACTTCACGAGGAGAGAGTTCTCGAGTGTCAGCACCTTAGTGGGACTTTAGTGATGGACGTGTCAATCTTGGACCTTCGAATCAACATTGTGTATTCATGTTTTGGAGCTGATCTGATCACTTTGGGTAAACGAACGAAATGGGGAGGAATGGAAATCAGTGAAGAAAATTTTAAATTTAAATATTCCTTCTCTCGTTTTCATTGAAATTTCTCAAATTTCCATCGGAAATTATCAAATCAATCGGATATGACGTCTTGTAGAATTTAGAATCTTAGGACATAAAGATGAAAATCTGTATTGTCAAAGAGAGCAAAAGCAATTTCTTAGGCAGCGAATGACAATTATTCTGTTTCAGAAATCAATTTCTATTCCTGAACGAATTTCTAAACAAAAAAACACGTTTGATAACGACACAAAATTTATGTTTCCGAAACAAAAATTTATTTGATAACGGCACAAAATTTGTCCCTCTCGGATGGCGGGTGAGTGGATGGTGGGAGGCGGACGGTGGGGGGAGGTGGCGGCGGCGGACAACAACGTAGCCAGTGCGGAGGACGGTGGCCGGAGGCGGCCGGCGATGGGAGGAGGGCTGCCGATGGGGGGAGGCGGGTAGTGGCGAGAGGAGGGCGGTTGGAGGCAGGATGGTGGCCGGTGGACGGCAGGCGATGGCCCACGGTGGCCGGCAATGGGAGGTAGGCGGCGGCCGGAGGCGGGAGACGGTGGCCGTTGGACGACGAGCAATGGTGGGAAGCAAGTGGCTGTGGGAGGAGGGCGACCAGCAGCGGGAGATGATGGCCGGTGGACGGCGGTGAGAGGCGGGCGGCAGCCAGAGGTGGACGGCGATGGGAGGAGGGCGGCGGCGAGAGGCGGGAGACGGTAGCCATTGGTGGGAGGCAGGCAGTGGCGGAAGGCAGGAGATGGTAGCCGTTGGTGGGAGGTGGGCGGCAGCGGGAGAAGGGCGACGGAAGACGGCGAATGGCGGGAGGCGGTAATCGACAAGTGGGCGGCGATAGGCGGCGAGTGGGCAACTGGCTAGTAGTGAGGGCGAGCGATAAGAAGAATTTTAACTTCTCATTTTTTATCAAGCAATAGAAAGTAGTAGAAAATTTTAACTTTTCATTTCTATTCCAAACCTCTTTTTGGAATAAATTTTTGTTCCAGAAATAGAAAATGAAATTGCATTACCAAACGGATTTATGTTGCAAACCTACTTCTGTTTTAGAAATAGAGAAACAGAATGATTTTCATTTCCGGCCTTAGCGGGTGCAAACGTTTAATTTTGATGATAATAATTCCATAAATCCCATTTTATACGGGGAAAAAAAAAAATAATTCCATCAGATAAGCCGGGCAAGAAGCAAGAGACAAGGTGAAGGAGGAGGGCTGGTTCGGTTCTGCTGTCCCCCATGGAGAAAACTACAAAAGCTTCTCCTTCTTCTCTGAGATGGAGCATCCTGCGACGAGCTCTCCTCCCCCACCGTCTCTCCCAAGATGGTATCGTCCGTTCACCGCCCCGAATTTCGCGAACGATCCGCGCTCAACGACTGACCGATTCCCTTTTGCTGTTTCTTTTCTCTTGTTTCCTTTCTTGCTTTCTTTCAGATGAGCAGTCTCGAGCCGACGTAGATCACGTTTCGAGGAGGAAGAACAGTCGCGGCTTCAACTTGATACCCTTTGAAGCGGCGACCCAGCAAGGCGATTCGGCTTCTTCTCCCTCGACAGCGGAAGCGAGGCGTGCCGTTGTTCGCTACACATTGCCCGTCGATAATTGTCCCAGACTGTTGCTCACGTGAGTTCTCTGAATTCCTCGTCTTTTGTTTTTTGTTTTTTAGCCCCCGAAGATCCGTTCTTTCTTTATGATTGATGAGGTGTTCAAAAGTCTGGTTGCTTGAGGCTGTCTCCATGTGGTTGACGTTGAGAATTGGATTCTTCCCTTCTCGATTTCAGTTTGTTTCACCCCTGATTGAGAGCTGAGAGCTCTTCGTATTCATCTGGGTTTCTTGAAGATTCTTTTTTTCCGATCAAGTAAAGATATTTTAACGGCGCAAAAGCATAGGAGCAATCCTCCCACAGACTTCAAGAATTACACTTCAATAAGGCGCCAATTACAACACAAGGCCACTTGTCTGTCTGATGAAATTTGCCTAGCAACTTCAGTGCACTTAACTAATCTATTCTGAATAGTTCTCTTGATTTTGAAACGATCTCATAGTAGCGGCATTAATATTAGTACTTAGCAGATGAATGTAAACGACCATGCCCAGTACTAAAATTTCAGAAAGACCTTTTCATCGAACTATGTGTGCCTATTTGGGTTCTTCTCCAGATGCGGTGTTTGGGAAGTGACGACTTCGACTCATTAATTGAAATAAGGTGCTTGTGGGGTTTAGTTAGGGAGTGAAACCTTCTCAAGATTGAGTTCCGTGGAGCTATCTCTTTGTCGGTTAGGATCAGGAGTATTTTGCAAACTGATGTTTCTGGATTCTGTTTTTCATGCAGTCAGAGACTGGAGAATCAAGCTGATCTTCATGATTTTGAGATCTGCAATATGTATAATGTTGACAACACTGGACTTGTTTGTGAGTTCTTTCTACTCCATTAGCTTTAGAATGTTTATTAAAGTTCTTGAGCAGCTCTTTTTTCTACTGCTTAGTTTTGTTCCCAATAATTTTGATGCATTGATGACTTATCATAGACTGGGTAAAAAATCAATGGTTTGCGATCCGTTATATTTGAATGCTTCCCTGAGGGAAAATGTTTTGGACTATACTGTATTAATGTTGTGTTGACTGCATCAAAAGCTTTGTGCGGCAATTTGAGTGATCGGTCCATTTAAGGTATGTGGCCTAGGAAGCACCTAGATCTTGGTCCATAGTCTGAGGGACATGGTGCATATATCTGGCTCAATACAAAGTATGAATTTATTAGACATAATGTCAGTCGCTTGATATTGTAATTTCCAGCCCATAGGATTTGCTTTAGTGGTTTAAGGAATGGACTTGTTTATATGTTTTAGGTGCGTGGCATAGATACAATTCCCCATAACGTCAAGTGCAATAAGCTACCCACCTAAGCTTGAGTTCATGTTCCGTGAGGTCAATGGGATATTTATTATGCCTGAGGTTTGCGCACCAAAGTAAGGTTTCTTGTTGTTAATGAGGAGGAACAAGAAGATGATGAGTCTTCCATAGAAGGCTTTACAAGTCAGATTTCATTTATGCTACCATTTTCGCCTTCATTTTTGCTCGAAGTTGTAAGAGTGTTAGTTTCAACGAAGCAACTAAATAAAATTGAGAAGAGTAATGGATTTTCAAAACTTCACAAACCCGTTGTTTTTTTTCTATTTTTTTATTGAATACTTCCTCCGTTCCTCTGACATAAACTTATGCACTGCCACTCTGGAGTTGCGTTGGGGAGTGATAGACCCCCTCAAAATCTTGATTTTTGAGCATTTTGAGTCTAATTTTATAGCTATACTGATGATATTTTCCATGTCCTCATTGATGTTAGGTCCTTGGCCATCAGAAGAAGTACTCGCATATTTTTGTCTGTCACATGCAGACATGTTCCGGTTGGTAATCCTCCGTGCTAGCAAACCACTTTACTGAAACTGCTTTCTTCTTGTGAATTTATCTGAAAACTGATTTTGAAGTGTCTTCCTATGAAATTCTCTAGGTGTAAAAAAGTTATTGAGCTCGGTTCAGGCTATGGCTTTGCTGGGTTAGTCATTGCAGCAGCCACTGAAGCATCAGAAGTGGTAATATCTGATGGAAACCCTCAAGTAGTTGATTGTATCCTTCTTGGCTGATGATTCTCTAAGATGTAACAGTAATGTAATTAGTATTCTGAATTTTTTCAGTCTATTGAGAACAGAACAATGAATCTGGTACTTCACTGTACAAGAACTAATTGGGGGCACTTGACGGGCACCTATACCTGCTTGCTTCATTTTTATCTCAGTAGTGCTTACAATACTAACGTGTTCTATCAATTAATGAAAGTCAATTTAGAATGGAAGTAGTACAGAAATGATGCATTAACCTAAGTTTGTTCATTTTATCAGTACCAGTAATAGCAAGGGCTGATGAACTTCTAACTGAGGGTAGAAGGAAGAAGGACATGTATTTAATATTATGATGCTCTATATTGCATGAGAGAAGTTGTACTAATGACAATTACTTGATTGGTTGAAAGTGTGGTTGCCACTAAAATGGTTGATTCAAACAAGACCGAAAGTCTCACTCCTCTACTATGATTCATCATTGTCATCTTTTTTGTTCCCTGAGTTCAATTAGTGACTTTTATTATCTCTACATTCTGTTTTTTCACTGTTGGTGTTGGCCCTTATCATCCAGATATCAAATGCAACATTGATGCCAACTTGAAAATGTTCGGTGGAACAAAAGTAATGCCTATGATGTTGCACTGGAATCAGACGGAAGTTTCTGAAATCACCAACAGTTATGACATCATTGTTGCTAGCGACTGGTACCTCCTATCGTCTTTCATGATATATTTGGTTGGTTATGAATATATCAATAGTTTCTAATTCTGATGAATGGCCCAAAATACTAACTTTGTATTTGTTAAATGCTTCCATTACTCCAATGTCACAAAAAGTATAGTTCTTTGTATAAATGTGATTGTATTTCTTCATATTGGGGATAGATATCGTTGTTTGTCTGAATCCTGGTTGAGTTACTCCACATCCTGACATTTTGTGCAACCTTCTCCTATATCAGAGTTGATATACTTGCTTACGTTTTCAATATTGTTCAATGCTTGATGACCTGGCAATGTCTGGATTTGTGAGCAAATTCCTAAATGAACTACACATATTGTTTCTTGTGCATAATGCATAGAAGCTTGCTCTTTTCAGTTTCTGCCAAGGTTATCTCCTTTTAAAATCGTTGACGTGGCGCATCACATTGATTCAGCACCTTTTTCAAGGAATTCCACTCTGACCTTGCTCGGATGATCAAATCCCTGTTGAAGCGACCTGGGCCATCAGAGTCTATACTTCTCAGTCCAAAAAGAGGAGACTCGCTGGACAAGTTTCTGGATGTGATAGCTAAAGAAGGCCTACTCTTCAGCGTTACAGAGAACTACGACTCAGAAATTTGGAAACGTCATCAAGGCTTTGTCAATGGTGATGACTCCTGGCCTGGCTATGAGAAAGATCATTGCTATCCATTACTTGTCAGAATTATGCCATGAACCTCTGGAGCCCTTTTCCTAGTCCTCTCATCCTCCTGCCTTTACCAAGTCAGAGAAACTACTGTTCATTGAGTGATCTGTCGAGAGATTCCTGAGTATTGGTCTTGTGAATAATCTATTGTTTAGTTGTTACCGCTTCTCTGCAGCTCCTTAAATGTGCTTGGCTGATTAAATCATAGCATCGCTAGTTATCTTTTACATAGTATTTCCTAAGTATCCCAAAGCTTCATGAGATTGGAAGAAAGATCTTTTATTATTATTATGAGCATTGTAATAAGCTTCTCCTTTTCTAGCCTAACGACGTTCTTTTACCGAAAAGATGTCAATGTAGATCACTTTCAGGAAATGGATGAGAGAATGTGATTCTGTCGTTGTGGTGGGAATATACTACTTGCTCCTCTATTAGACGTACCGTTAAGTGTTTAATGTTAATAGAAACTAGAAAGCATGTCTGGTAAACTCTGTGGTGGGAATGAGAAATTTATGAAATCAAATGCATCTTTGAGTTGCCTATCGGCTTGGCTTTGGCCCTTACTGTGTAACTCATCGAATAGACTTTAATGTGATACACGGTTCGGGAAAGAGATCGATTCTCATCGGCTTTACAGATGCATGACAAGTATACACCTTTAATTTGAAGAGTAGATTTCGATTTGAACTGTAGCCTTCACGAGAATATATTCACACATGGATCACTAGTCAGTGAAAATTAATTGTTCGGCAGATGGTACAACAAACTGTATATAAAATTCTTTTAAGAGCATACTCCTTTTCGTTCTTACATCCAAACAAAATGCTTTACATAGTTTAAGACATGATGAAATGTAAAGCTATAATCATCGGTTGTGCATAATTAGGAAGTGGGTAGTTTACAATCTGGATTCAGCTACTTTCTCTTCATCAAAAGGTGATTAGCCAGCTCATTTTGGTCTCTTCTATGTACTCCTGTCTGACTACAAAAATTGCAAGAGGGAGAGAGAGATGGCTGCTACGGTCAGTGTGAACCCAATAATTGAGGAAGGAGGACCACGTGGCGAATCGCCTGTGGCCAAATTGGCTAGCCATGAATTGGCAAATGCTGTGTCTTGGGTTGAATCCGACCCTGATCCGGACCCGGCTGTTGCTGAGTTATCTGCAGCTTGTACGCTTTTGGGAGAGGAGTCTGTTGCAGATTTGATGCTGCAGAAGAAACACAGTTTTTGAATCAACTGTCCATTGCAATGACTTCTCCAGAATATAGCATTCACAAGCCTACAGTAACTTTTCAGTTGATATCAAGAGAACCTTGGAGTGTGTTACAATCACATATTTCCAATTCAGAATACATGATGACCTCACAAGTTTATTCATGACCACTGATGCCATCTCGTGGGAATAATCTCGAGCCCACGAAATATTCCGTTAAGTAATTATCAATTCCGTGTTGGTGCCAAGGTGTACATTTTTTTCAAAGATATTGATTATTATGGAAGCAAATCGTTCTCCAATTGCTGAGCTGGTGACAAAGCGAATTTGCTGTCTTTTGTTTTGTACATGTCATATGACACTGAAAAAGAACATCTAAAGTTCAGTCATGATGTCAGAAAAGATACAACCGCCTATCCAAATCTGTAATTTTTGTTTTGAAAGTATCTATATCATGCCCCTGTATTATAATCAGAACTGAGAAGATTACACTTGGTGAATAACTATATTGATCAAACAATAAAGTCATCTAAAGAGCCAAAGAATTGATGAGAGACAATGATATACCTTGGTGAATTAGGGCAAAATGTGATGGTATAGTCCGCGCCAGAACAGGTGAAAGTACTGGTGGCATCGTCATAGGCATAGCTATATGATTTGGGACAAGCCGTCTTGAAGATTTGGGAGTAGAGAGTTGGCTTGCAAGCTGAAGGCGAGCCGTACGTGCCGCTGCAACAGTACTCAGGGCTCCCGAAGGCCTCACAGGCGCTCTTGCATGCCGCGCCGGCGGCGGCCCTGAGCTCTGCTGGGCACTGGCGGTTGAGGTCCGTCATGCACCCTGTGGACGCACATTTACCTGGCAAAAATAATAAACTTGGCTGAATTAGAACTTGTAATCTGTAAAGTGGACATAAAAACTTAGCTGTGTATAGCGAGATAAGAATAGTGCGCCCTTAACTCTAAGAAAAATAGAGATTTAGGGGCATTTGATTTTTTGCATTACCAGAACCACCAGTGCCATCAATGACCATGGGCAAATTGTAACCATCCACAAGACTAACGTCATAGAAATCTTGAGACCCTGACCCTCCTAGAGTGAACTCCGCCAGGGTGGCTGGAGGGGCCGCATTGCCTCCATTGCACTCGACTTCGCCCGAGCCACAGTCGGCCGTGGCGCACGAGCCCCGGCCCGAGCTGTCGAAGGAGCACCCGCTCCTGCCCCAGAACCGCCCCGACCATCCGCTCGGCGCCTGTAGGGAGCGGGACCCGCCCTTGGCGAGCTCGAAGCCCGTGGTTTCCAGCGGGGGGCTGCCCGCGCCAGATAGGATCCCGGGCCACACCGGGAAGTTGCATTTGTTCACAAAGGTGAAGGTAGCACATGATGCACCTGAGAAACATAGCGGCATTGCCAGAAGATCAATTAGATCACATTTACATGAGAATGTACACATTGGAGATGGTTCTTCAAAATATTCTAGAATCTCATGTTTTTCACAACGAATTTGTGCAAGTAATAAACATGCCTAACTTATACATTTTCCATACCACGAAAATATGGGATGCATGTATTTACCTCTAAAAGTGGAGACAAGAGAGAGGCCCAAGAACAGAGCAAGCAAGTGGAAGCAGCAGGAAGGGACGACAGCCATACTTAAAGCAATGAGAGTGTTCAATATGTAGAAACAATTACTGAAAAATACAGTTCCACTGCAAATTCGAATATTCCTAGAATGGACCAAAGTGTAGATGTCGATGATGATGATGAGAAAAATCAGCAATTTCTCTATATAATGGGAGCAACTTAGAGGGATTTTATTGCAGGAGAGGCTGGCCAGGTTGAACGAGAGGCAAAGTGTTGGGAGGAGGAGGGAGAAGAAGAGTGCATGCAAATTTGGAAGGTGGGCTAAGTGAGGAAGTTGCGGAGGGAATCCAAACCGTCCGCATTTCGACCCTCTTTATAGGGAAACAAAAGTTCACAAAGTTAATAAAGGGTGAAAATATACCAATCAATGCCAAGATTCTCAATTGATCAGCTACCCCACACCCAGTGCTAGCTTGTTGTTACTCAAAAAGAAATTGTTAAAAAAGAAATCCACGTGAACCCCACTATTCATTCTATACGCTCTATTCATATGTATGAAAAATATGGTCAATAATTGTAAGCTTACATGTTAGTATTTGAGTGTGAACATATAAAGATAAAATATAATTTGGTACCAACAAACTGTCTGCCACTTTCTCTTTCTCTATCTTTAGTTACGCAATTTCCCCCTATTTAACGAGGAAAGCAGAACAAAGGGAATGTAATGCCATCAGTGAGCACTTGAACACCATTCTATGCGATTTGTATTTGTGGAAAAAGTAAACGAATGGTATCGTCAAATATATATATCAACCGTACCTTCTATCTTATCTTGAGAGCAATAGTTTAAGAGCTTTCTTTCCTACTCAGCTTGGGTCTTAAGTTAGCCGGCCATACTGCTTACATGCTATTGTAATCGGCAAGCCTCTCTTTTAGGGCTGGGGATCTATCCACAGTGCTGATCAGTATTAGTGATCTTCCTTCCCGTCTTCTCTCAGCCCTTATGCGAGGCCTTTCTAACAGTCGTGATTAAATAGACGGAAGTTCGCATGGGTCTTTCTTTTGATCCTATAGGTGCAGGTTCGAGTTGCTCATGGCAATGTCATTTTGGTGGTATAGTAGGGTGACCTTGCAGAACACAACTTTCCATGCTTTTTGGACGGCGAGGAAGTCCAGGTGTGCCGGTGACGCGGCACAAGATGGTTTGCTATCTTTAGAACAGGGACGGTTGTGCTTCTTTGAAAAGTTTCATTAGGGACCATGGTTGACCGAGGTCAACATTAATCATATAAAGTATGAAGCAATGTTCCCTATAGTCTTTTCCTTCTTCTTTTTTTTTGAAAAATAAAACACATAGGTGAAAAATTATGACCCGACATGTAATCTACATAGGCTTCCAAAAGAAGGTATTTTTGTTATATGTAATGATGGTATGCAATTATAGAGAAAGAAGTTGTCAATGCCCCTCTTGCAAGTACCTTCAACTAATTTTCTTGGCCCAAAATAGAAAAAAATAAAAATAAAACACCTTCAAATCTATTACGTACCGGTAACTTTCATTGGGTTCGATTTTCCAGTACAATTCGTTACCTCGAAGATACATGAATGATAAGATCTTTTTGTACATTCTCCATGGATTTTGAGATGCAAGAATCACGTTGTATACAAAACAAAGTGATTTTCTCTTTGCTGTCCTAAGTTAAAAATGCCAATAAACTATAGCAATGAATAAAGATAGTGAAAAAAAGAAGAAGAATAAAGATAGCCAGACTTCTTGCGAAGCAACTCGATTATCTAGTTCAGCACATCTTTTTGGTTTATGGTGCGTGACCCAAGCCTGTCAAAACTACGTGTACCTTTTTTTCTTGGGATAATTACACAAACATTCCCCGAATTTTGGCTCAATGTGTAATTTGATCCCTGAACTTTTAATTTATTCAATGTAGTCCCTAAACTTTAGCTTAATGTTTAATGTAGTCCCTGAACTTTTAATTTGTTCAATGTGATCCCTAAACTTTTGGTACATGTTCAATTTAATCCCTGAACTATATGAAAATGTACAATATAGTCCTTGAACTTGAATTAATAGAAGGACTATATTGAACATTTTTATAAAGTTCAGGGGCTAAATTGAACATGTATCAAAAGTTTAAGGACCACATTGAATAAATTGAAAGTTTAGGGATCACATTGAACATTGGATTAAAGTTCAAGGATTACATTGAATAAATTAAAAGTTCAAGGATCAAATTGCACATTGAGTCAAAGTTCGGGGACTGTTTGTGTTATTTTTCCTTTTACGGGAAAAAAGAAATATAGGATATACGAAAACCTATGTTAAACTTTTCTTTTTCTTTTCTGTGGAAAATTATGGAAAGGTTCCAAGATTCCCACATGGGTGATGTCTAAATTGCACTAGGACAACAGGGAAATGTCTCTATACGTGTTGAAAAAGCAAAAGCTTTCAGGCAAAGGATTTGTCACATGAAGTCCACAAAACTGCCATTCAAGGTTGTTCATTGGTAGCCTTTTTGACTCTCTACTCCTATTTTTCTCATTATCTTGCTTCGCAGTGGGGGCATCTCTCTCTCTCTCTCTCTCATTGCAGATTAGACATTACTCTCTCCAATCACTTTCATTTTTCATTGCACAATTTTTTTTGGTCGAAACATTACACATTGAATTGTAATAAATGTGCACATATTAAAAAAAAAGGACACTTCATTGATTGGATGATATCATGTTAACAAAGTTAGGTTTAGTAATACCACATCTTCATTAATAACCTATCTCACATGTTGTGTCGACTTCACAAGTTTTCATTTTATCAATCATTGAGAAAAGAACACGATCATTTTGAGATGTCAATAGGCATGCGCTCATCTTAACTACACAAATATTCATCGAAATGCTAGTGGTATGAGTGGTACTTTCGACCCGTGGTAGACAGAATAAAGTTTCAAAATTTACGTGCTTGTTTGTCCAAAGAAGCTTCACGCATATTTGGAAAATGGTAATGACAACATGAGAACTAATGAATAATGGCTTTCTAAGCTTCTATTGAGAGACTTATGCAAAAAAAAAGTTCGTAATGAAAGAGGATAATGTGTGCTAGGTGCCAAAAATTGGTTTGGTAGGGCTTAAAGTTAACATAATAGTGCTATGATGCTTTGTCATCAAGAACATTCTAAATGGCCAAGGAATCATAGCCATGATAACATTTTTAAGCATAGGTCCAATCCTCAACTAACCGACCGAATAATGATGCATCATCACCTTTACACATAAATATATGTCAACATACTTTTCTCTCGCTTTTCAATAACCATAAATTGACCATATTATTCATTTTTTTTCCATTTGGAGTTAGGGTTTCATTACATTGTTGTGGAGGGGGGAGGGGTAAATAGATTATTTGAGAACTATGAAAAATATTTGCGGAATATAACATGTTCAATCCTAAATATCAACGGAAACAAATTGTAGAAATCATATGTGCGTACTGCTGTTATAGATGAAGCCAATAGTAAAGAGGTAGAAGATATTGCAAGAAAATATATAGTGGTTTGTCTTTATCCCCAAGCCTACATTCACTCTCAACACTAACAATCACAACAAGGTCGAAATTCATTAGCAATTTTCAAGACAAGTTACAATTAGCTAGTATTGACTTTCAAATAGATCACACTATCAGACTCACGTACTACTATAGCTCTTGTACACTTGCTCTCATCGTTGTTTACAAATATTAGCACCACCCACAGACATGAGGAATACATAGCAAATATAAACAAAAACAGAGCCAAGAAGAAGATGTAAAGCACACAACTCATTTTGTTCATTTCCACCAAACCGAATTTCTTCTCTTAGACTCAATATATAGCCATCCATTCTCATATGACTATTTCCCATTGAAATCCTCAAGTAGCCGTCAGTTCTACCATTGCCAGCAGCAGGTCATTGCTAGAAATCGTTGGAATGGCTCTCTGACATCGGTAACGTCTCTCTGACAATAGCAGTTTTCCAAAATAGTATTAGTGTCAGAGTCTATCCCTGCTCATTATTGCCAAAACTGCTCTTGATCAACTCTGGTGATCTTTTTGTGTATTCCAAGTCTTTGTAACTGTTATTTTTTTTTGTCAATGTTCTAATCAGTTGGTCAAGTGACTAACACCGTCCATGACTAAATATCAACACGATTTATTACCCATAATCATGATGTGCAGATTATTACTAGTCTGTTGACACTGTCCACTGACAAACCATGTGGAATGACTTGTGATTAATCATCCAATGATCCTTTTAGTTTCTTCATCATACAAAGACTTCCAAGGGCATTAGCACCCACGTTGATTTCTCATCTTCGCCGATTAACCATATCAATTTCCAAAGATTTCCAAGGACATTAGCATCCATGCTGATTTCTCATATTCATTGATTTGACTGAGTCAGCTTCCAAAGATCTCCAATGACACCATGTTGACTCTGAACACACATGTTGGTTCCTCATCTTCACTGAACTCACAAGGACTACCGGTATTGTCATAGTTTTCCACCTCTCTGATATTGGCAGCTTCTTCCGTGTCAACAATATGTTACTCCCTATAACGATGCTAATCTTTCTTTTGAACCTTCCAAGCATATTGGCAATTTTGATCCTATCAAGCTGTTCATCTATATGGTCTTTCCAAGCTTTATTGGACATCCTCATTCTAGGCTTGTTCACCATCACCAAGTCCATCTAATTGTTCACTCCGATCTTTGTATCTCCAAGCCATCACAATCATCCCCATTCTTCTCGGCTTGTTCATCCTCGATCAAGGTCCTTCCGAATGTTCATCTTATTTGAAGATCATTCCAGCTTATAGACATTTTCAACGCATAATATCTTGTTCACCTTAGATATCGGCAACGATCCTTCGATATTGGTAGAGCACTCTTGACAGTGGTAGAGCATTCATCATATCAGAATCTTCTAGTGCTGTTTATGACAATATGTGCATTTCGGCTTGGCACTACTCAACCAATACACATATTAGTAACAATTGATTGATTTTGTCATCGTTAAAACAACATAGAGGATCTTTCAACAATCATCACATGAGAGATTTTCCTTACAAATATTAACTGCAGGTAAAAATATCTTAATTTTCTACTTGAATTTTGCTAGTGATGCTCATAATGCACTAGATTTATTACGTGGTGATATGTGTTTACATTTTCTCGAAAAAATCCACTATTGCTAATAAGCCAAAATTAAAATAATACCTAGATGTAGAGAAGATAAGAATACCATATAGAGAGAGATAAGATTTCATTATTCCCAATCAAATTTCTCCT